TGGTTTAGTAAGTAATATATGTGCTAGGCTCATGAATCATGCCAAACGTAATGTGATTTCTTGCACCTTCATTTAGTGTGTAGTATGATTCCAGCAATTATTTGTAAATTGTGATTCATTGCTAAGTATTTTGCATGCATTCAGAAATTATGGTTTATATAGCAATAGCGCATTGATTTATATACTGCTTCACAGCTCTCTCTAAGCGGTTTACAGAGTCAGCATATTGTCCCCAATAATTATGCATCAGACGTTGGTTAAATAATGACTTGAAATAGTGACTGTGATCAAAGAAGATGAAAATAGATGTGCCTAAACCATGAAAACTATCTGGATGACTCTGAGTCTGACCCACCCCTCAGGGATGTTGTTATAGGGAAACTAAGAGGGGTAAGGTATGTTGGATATGTTCACTGGCTTGAATTATAAAAAATAATAAAGGCAGGATACAAATAAATAAAAATGAATGAATGAATGAAAAAACAAGGAACGTCTTCTAAAAAATTTCCAAATTCAGAGGATAGTATCAAAATTAAAATGATATGCTAAAAATACTAGTGGACAGATGATGACTGATTCAAACAAGATCATACAAAGATGAAAAGAGATGTATATGAAATTTTTTTATAGAAGGGATGTCAACATCCAAGATACCTTGGAAAACATTCCTTATGTAGAAGCACGTCTATGTTAGGACATGTAATTAAATCAATTTTCTCGTCATTATCAAGGGAGAAAACTATAGCAATTGATGGAATGCATATAAAAATATGGCAAGCAACATAAACATAATTAGCAAAAATTCTAAGCTAACCAGGAAATCTGGAGAACAATATAGATTGATAACAATCAATATTGAAAAAAGGATCTGTAATAAGAGTGCAAAAACTATCATAAAACTGCTTTTTTTCACATACTAATTATATAATATGTGGAGTCACTCAATGCAGTTTAGAATCCTCCATGGAAAAAATGCTGCCAAATGTTCAAGATTTTAGAAAAGGAACACAAGACATTAGTGTTGGTGTGCAAAATTGAAAAAGCCAAAGGGTATAAAATATAAGTCAATATGTGACTACTGATTATAATAAGGCCTTTAATTATGTCAATCATGTCAAGCTATGAAATATTCTAGGAAAATTGGAATTACAACATCTTCTTATCCTCATGTAAATCTTATAATCAGGACAAAAATACATATTCCAGATGAAAAATAGTAAAACAGACTGGCTCCAGCAAAAGAATGAGACAAGGGTTCCTGATCTGTCCTTAATTGAAAAATTTGACATGCCCTAAATTTAACAAACCTAGACTGTGTGCTTAGTATACGTTGAAGGAAGCTTGGAAGAAGATGAGTATTGTTTTAAAACTGGAGGAACAAATATCTGTAACCTATACTATGCTATTAACATTACTCTGGTAGTTAAACATATAAATGATTAGCAAACTGTAAAAATGAAAGTCGGGGAGTATCGTGAAAAAATTGGAGTAATATTATGTATATTATGTATAAAGAACGCCAAAATAATGACAACAGATACAATGACCAGTGTATCAATGACAATGAAGACGTTGTGTTGGATAGCGTTTGTTTTTTAGGATCAACCATCAACAGTAAGGAGCAATCAGTCAAGAATTATGGAAAAGATAGGTTAAGCAGGCTTGGAAAAGGTATCCAGATGCCCTGATGTATTTATACCTTAAAAAATCAGATTATACAAGTCATGGTATTCCCTGGAAGCAAAACTGAGAGAATCAGGATAGCAAAATTATTGATGCTTTTGAAATTTGTTGTTGATGAAAAGTCCTGAGAATACAATGGAAATTTAAGAAAACAACTGGAGGAATCAATTCAGAATTCTTACTCAAGCCACAAAGGATCAGGTTCAAATTATTCTACTTCAGACACATTATGTGAAGACCTAGAAAAGGCTCTAATGTTGAGAAAGATGGAACAAAAAAAGAGAGGATAAAACAATGTAGATGGATTTAAGGGTAGCAATGAGTGTACTCAGGTTAGGTACAGGTTCCATGGAAGACAGCCATGCGGTTGCTAAGAATTGACATTTAATTGATGACCTTTAATCTGTCTCCCAAGATCAACCAGGTACTGCCAAGAAAATATAAAAAGAGATTTTAACTTTTACAGAGGTAACATCATTCCCTCCTTGCAATTGCAGCTCATAGCCACAAGATGACATCCTATTAGTTTACATGATGTAATATATTATACCACATGTAAACTAATAAAGATTGCTATAGAGGTGAAATTTCAGAGCCAAAGACATTTAACAGACAAACAAGGGTCCAATGATAACATATTAAGATTATCAGAGCAACTAAAGCTGGTTTTATTTCTTCTTCATATTTTGGGAAGCCATAGTTGGTTTAAGGCAAAATTTTGATTTGTCTTTGACAAGTGTGAAAACCAAAATCACAGTATCAAAATCTGGAAATTTGCCATTGAATATTGGTAAACATGGAAGGATTCCACATTGAAAAAGGAGCCAGGGGCCATGTTCTTCCACATTCACAGTATTCTTCCTTTTTCTAAAAATGAGTCATTTTTCTTAAGCACAATGTTCCTAGACTTATTCTTTGTGTTACAGATAGATGATACCGAATCTGTTCTCCCCAACGCAGAAGTACGACTTGTACAGTGCTATCTAAGCTTGTGCAGACAAACTATGGCTCAGCAGTTGTACAAAATATCTTTGTAATATATGCATCAAGATCCATTTGCAGACCCCTATGGTTCATGTACATTTTTTTTAAAAAGTATATTGCTTCTACAAAACAAGGAATTAAATAAATATTGTATTTTTGCAGAATATGAATATGATGATTAAAATTATTTTTAAAATTACTTTGCATACTATATTAAGCTGTGTGTGGTTTGACTATGACTTAATGTGCTGAATTACTGCACATACACAAGAGATAAATAAGCCCATAAACTGACCTGCAAAATTGTAACCAACTGAGCAAATGGTTTTCCTTTTTTCCCATTTACTAACTTGTTTTTCATGTAGCTCAAATTCTATGGCAGCAACAAATGTTAAGCTACTCTGCTAATAATTTTGGCTTGAAAGCTACATCATATAACAATTGGCAATTTCCAGAAATGGTAATTGCCTGCCTACAGAAATGTACACAACAAAATATTTAAAAACTGCAACCTTTTATGCCATCATTTAAAGATTGTGATTTTTTTTTAAATCTGAGGTCTAATAAGATGAACCCAATTTTTGTTCTGTATTTTGGAAGCCAAAAATAATCTCATCTTATTTGTATTTATTAGATTTGTGTTTAATCCATCTTTATTACTATTATTCTATTCTATTCTATTCCTTTTATAAGTACAGGTAGTCCTCAACTTAAAGCCATTCATTTAGTGACCATTCAAAGTTACAACAGCATTGGAAAAATGTGACTTACAGATATTTTTCACCCAACTGTTGCAGCCTTCCCATGGTCACATGATCAAAATTTGTATGCTTGGCAGTGGTCTCATATTTATGACAATTGCATCACGTGATTACCTTTTGCAACCTTCTTAGGAGCAAAGTCAATGGGAATCCAGATTGACTTAACAACTATGTTACTAATTTAATAACTGCAATGATTTATTTAACAATTGTTAAATAAAGGCAAGAAAGATAAAATGGGACAAAATTCACTTAACAACTGCTGTCTCACTTAACAACAGAAATTTTGGACTTAATTGTGATAATAAATTGAGGACTACCCAATAAGTAGTAAACCTTCATAATACTACTTCCTTCTTCTATACCAACAACCCTGCAAGGTGGGTTGGGCTGAGAGTGATGGACCTAGAGTCATCCAGCCAGCTATCATGCCTAAGGCAAGACTAGAACTCACAGTCTCCTGGTCTCTAGGGCAGTATCTTAACTACTACGCCAATTTTAGACTAGAATTTTCTTGTGGGACAAAAAAAATATCAACAATGCCTTCTTCAACTCATGCTGAATCATGTTTTAGAGAGATCAGGCTGACATTGTTTCAGCAACTATGAAAAGGTTGCACATTAGATTGGAACATTAAAAACACTCTGAAGGTGAATCCAGGTTCTGTTTATTGTATGGACATGTCCAGGATGTTTTTCTGGATGAATAATCTTCCAGAATGTTCTTTCAACATGCTTTGAAATTTGCTTGGCATCTCCTCCTCAAGTTGGGTCACCATTTGTTGTTCCATGATCTTTCACAATTGGCCAGTGCTGCTACTTATATTTTTGTTGCTAGAAAATAATGGAGTTTCCATGATATTGTATCTGCTGTGATTTTACGGAAATAGGTGATTTCAAGGAAAAAACGAGGAAAAAATATGGGTTGGCCATGGATTTTAAACTTCAGTCATTCAGAGTTTATTAAGTACATTTAAATATTGCTTCAGTGAATAGTAACTATGAATGGCTTACATTAGTAAATAAGCTTAAAGTAAGAAAGAAAACAAAGCAATTGTTACTTTCATTATATGTTCCAAGGAACAATGTTAAATATATTCCACCATTTAGGAGGAGCATTACAATAAAATACACTGTGTGCCAAAGTTAAGAAGCATCCATGATTACATTTCCGTGTGTGTGTGTGTGTGTGTGTGTGTGTGTGTGTGTGTGTGTGTGTGTGTAAAAATCTATCTATCTATCTTTCTATTTAAATCAAAGTACTTTTTTCTCAGTGTGTGGATCTCTTATGCCCGGGGAATTAATTTTAATTAAAGTTCATTCCCCGGGAATAAGAGATCCACACACTGGGGAAAAAAGTACTTTGATTTCTACAAGGAAAAAAAAAGGTTTCTACGGTAGGCATGATGTCAGCAACAGGAAGTGACAGTAAGTGGACTACATTTCCCAGAATTCTCCTTAGGAGGCGGGACAATAATGAGTCGAAGGCTACTGTTGGAAGACAATAACAGAAGATCTTGAACCGTGGGCAAAGGTTGGAGCAGCCTGTCATCCCAAGGTAGGAACAGTCTTCTCGTGATACGATTTGCAGTCCTTTAATATTGGACATCGGATGGAAGCTTAGCTGATGCTTGACGCCGCCGGGCCTTCCGCCTTCTTAGGACGACGTTTTAGTCTTGAAAGTTGGAGGAAGGACATTTTACTGCAATTTGGCCTTATAACTGTCATCTGCTTGCAAGGGGGCAGGTGGAGTCGGCAGTCTGGCAGAGGGGCATCTCTGCCCCTCCAGCTGTGCATGATAATAATAATAGGTGAATGATCACTCGTGGAATAAAGAAAGGTATTACTCTCTAATCGGATCGCAAAGCTGTCTTGGAAAGGAAGGACGGTAGGAGAAAACTTGGGAGCGTCCAGCTTAGTGAGGGTAAGGGAACCACAAACAGGTCTGCCCAGTATGCAAACAGCCCTGGGAAATCTATTGCTTAGGTTTGCATCGCGAGGTTGGTAACATTAATTATGTGAAATGACATTCTTGATTGGTGCGGAGGAGTGATGAATAAGGGTTACTTTGAAGTTTTTGGTATAGGTCAGGAACGTGGGCAGGAAATGTATAACGTATTGAAATTTGGAGAATGTTGATGGGTTGAAAGAGAACATTTGCAGATTTGTACATTTGCATTTCGTCTATAATCAACTTTTATTACTGCTTTTATGCTATGGTGACTGAATTGAACTTCCCTAGATAAGTTACTTTCCCGTGCGTTTGGGAATTGAATTTAAGTACACGCGCGTGTTGTTTACAAGCCGGAAAGCTTAATTTTTAAAAGAAATCTATATACGGGTCGTCTGTAGAACCTGCACAACTGCAGTCCCCCATCTGCAATTTCAGAGAGAGAAAAGCCCCCTAGACCCCAGTGGAGCTTCTAAACAAACCTGAATACGATTGGATTGAATGACTTCGGAGTGTGGGGAGAGGCTTTTTTTTTTAATATGCAAAGATACAAGTAGAGATAGACAAGAGAAGGTAAGAAACATTTTTCAAGAAACGCTTGGAACGCTTAGAACAATTCCATACACATTTCTTGCCGTAAGAAATGAGATAACAGATTAATTCCTTCCTCCGTGCCTCTTTTCTGCTGAAGCTTTCGGGATAGGGATTTCTCCCTGCATACTTGGTAAGAGGTGAAGGTGGTCTCCATGCATCGGTAATAAATGAAGAATCAGAGGACGAGGTTACTATATTGGGTGAGAAATCAGGATCAAGTTTCAGCTCTTTTATGCATAATAGGGAATAAGTCCTATTGAATTCAATAGCGCTCCTCCTTAGCCTCGTCTGGACCAGCGTGTCTTGCCTCACTATTGAATTCTCTTGTCTTCTAGCCAGCATCCCAGTAGGGATAGTTGCCGAAGTTAGGTAGACAAGATGGTGCAGGAATAGGACGAGATTGTCTTCTGCTTATAAGAGGTAGTAGAAGTTTGCACTGTTGCTTTCCGACGACCGTCAGCTGTGTAAACCCCCAGAAGCGTGGGTCTTGGAAGGGGGTGGTCTGAAAACTGGAGGATGCAGATATTGTCGAGAAAAGGCCAAACGGAGGGTAGTGCTGGGCGCAAAGGACGTGAGAAGCCGCCTTGACTTAAGCGGACTGCTCTTCTCTGTTTTCCCCGCTGCCTTCGCGATCCCTTGCTCCTTGCCGGATGATCCCGAAGTCCCTCGGCCAACAGCGCCCTTCAGCCGACACGGAAAGCAGTGGTGGCGGCTGCGGTGCGATTCGGCTGAACCAGGAGTCCGGCCATGGCAGAGACGGAGAGTGGCAGCAACAGCTCGGTGCATGAGACGCGCTTTGAAGCGGCGGTGAAAGTGATCCACAGTCTGCCCAAAAATGGTAAGTAGAAGGAAAACGATGGAGGTAGACCCGGAGCAAGAGAGTGAGGGGTGGGAGGGAATTGCAAGATGTGGATGAGTTCGCTTTTTTCCTGACTTTTTGAAATAAATGATGTCAATCATGATGCCAGTCAGTCTGGTGTAGTATCAAAGCTAAGCAGAGCTGAACCTGGTCAGAACTCCCTTCATAAGACATAGTAACTGGAAAGTGAAAGGCTACAGTCACCAAACTACTTAGGTGGGATTGCCAAAATGGTCAAGAATAACTTGAGGAAGTTTTATATTGGATCTGGAGTGCCCAACTGCTCACTCTAGGTAGAAAAAAAACACCAAATATCTCTCTTCTAGTCTGGAATCACACCCAACGCCCACAAACCAATCAGCCATGTTTTAGCTTAGTTCACTTATGATTCTGCATATGCCGTACAAATCCCCATATATTCATTGAATTGCTTTAATGATTAGAATTACATTTAGGGTAAAGGTTTTTCCATAGTGCTGGAAATTTTTCCATCAGTGACAAACATTCTAGAATTAGGGTGCTGCCAATTTTATATAATTACTACAAAGTGTGTTTTCAGGCTGAGTATGGACTTGAATCTGAATCCTGAATATTTTATGTCCACATAGAATTTATGCTGAAAGTGGTTGTTCTTGGAATATAATTCTATACAATTTGTTTTAAAGTTAGTGAAACTCCAAATATACGATGATACGTTGAAAGTAAAAGTATATGTATTGACCATAAAATAAAAATGTATTGACCATAAAATAAAAATCTGTACTGAAAAAATGCCTGTAAATGGAGTCTTGGCAACTAGACTTTTCTTTTTCTGTTTGTACAAACCTTTCACTGCTTATCCAAGTAGCTTCTTCAGTCTTAGCAAATTGGTTGGGGCAACGCCATATATTCCAGGATGGTTTCATTTTTCACCTGACCTGAATAATTTGTTAGGTGAGCAAAGGGTAAATGTTTCAACTCCTAAATTCTTTCTCTACATGAGTCCCTGGAAATGTGGGATCCCTATACTGAAAAAATGTTTTTATCCAGTCATCTTAAAGTTATAAGCTAAGCGTCAGAAATTCTTATCTTAAGCAAAATGGTTAGAAATTCACAAAAAAAGTTCAGTAGGGAAGAAAATGTGGCCATGGAGTGTTGGGATAATCTGTAGAATGTAAAATGGTTAACCCTCAATGTGAACAGTTCTTCAGAATCTAAAATTGTCTTGATTTTTACAATTTCTTTGACAATTAAACAAATGATTTACACTTCAATTAATTCTTCTTTGGCTAGCATCCATATCCACACTAAGGTTAGGAATACATTGTTCCTTTTTGTTAGATTTTGTGTAGGCGATGGCTTATCGGTATAATAATACGTTTTCAAGTTTCTTGTTTTTCAATCCTTTTTTGAAACTGCTGGAGCAGCACGGGAATTCACATCATTAAACGTAATTTGTAGACTTTTTAAAAAGTATTTTAAGAAATAATGGATCACGTACAAACTTTTGTTTCCATTCCTTCAGCTTTGTTTGTTAATTAACCACTTGACAGTTGCAAAATGATTTCCTGTGCAATGGCCTAACATTATCTTAGCTGTGAAAATAATGCCTCCATTTTATTTCTCTGTTTCTTTATTTAGAGGAATCATCATTTATTCCTTCATTAATAATATCGTTTGGTTGGGTTTTCTTGTTAAGTAAAGCCATGTTTTGGACTCGAAGGCTCCTTTTTCAATATAGGTAGCCCTCAAGTTATGGCCACAATTGAGCTAGAATTTATTGCTGGGTGAAACATTTGTTAAATGAGTTTGCCCCATTTTACAACTTTTCTTGCCACAGTTGTTAAGTGAATAATTGCATTTGTTAAGTTCGTAATGTTGTTCTCCAGTGAATTTGGATTCCCCATTGACTTTGCTTGTCAGAAGGTCGCAAAAGCTGATCACATGACACCCCAGATTCTGGAAATCTGATAAATATGAACTTGCCAAGCATCTGAATTTTGAACATGGGATGCTGCAATGGTCATAAGTGTGAAAACGGTCATAACCAGTGGTGGTGGTATGCTACTGGTTCGGCCTCTCATGATCAGCTGAGAGGAGGAAAAAGAGACCCCAGGATAAGCTGAGAGAAAAAAAAAGACATCAGCTGAGAGGATAAAGAAGAGAAAAGCACAGGATTGGCTCTCCAACCCACCTCTGTGCTTTTCTCTTCTTTATCCTCTCAGTTGATTGGTGATGCAGGCCTCAGCTGGTGTGTGGAAAACTGGGCGTGGGTGTGCTCATCAAACCGGTAGTGGAACAGATAGGATCCCACTGCTGGTCATAAGTCATTTTTTTCAGTGCCATTGTAACTCTGAATGGTCACTAATCAAACTGTTGTAAGTCAAGGACTATATGTCAAATTGTCCTCACAAGTAATTCTTGGAACTGTAAATGTAAAATGGAAAGTACTGTATCAATATACGGTATATCTTCCGTAAGCAAGATGGATGTGATAAATTTCATTTCTAAGATATTGAGTAGACAGTACCTTAATACAGTGGTCCCCAACCATTTTTGTACCATGACCCGGTACCGGCATCACAAAATGATCCACGGACTGGTACCGGCATCAGCACGCACGACCAAGGCAAGGTGAGCCAAGCGACCGGCCAGCCAGCTGTCCCCTGCTTCTCCCCGCCACCTTCAACTCCTCCTTTGTACCTTCTCGCGGTCGATGGGCTTTTCAGGCTCTTTCTTAATCTCCTCCTGAGTAACACAAGACTCCACCATCATCGGGACGGCTCTTCGTTCAAAGCCGCCCCGCCCCCTCTTCGACGAAACTAAGGCGCGAGGATTCCTTCAGCACCCAAACGCCGCTTTCCATACAACCGACAACCGACAAGCTCACCCGGAAGCACTTTCTCAAGCGCTGTCGAAACAAGATGGCGGCGCCCAAGCAAAGTAGGCGGCCCGGTACAAAATGATCCACGGACCGGTACTGGTCCAGGGCCCGGTGGTTGGGGACCCCTGCCTTAATAAATAAAATAGATTTGGGAGTGGTCTGAATAAAGACTTCAGATTTTTAAAATCTCTTTTACTGGCCCACTTTGTGATTATTTTGCAAATGGTCTAGAACAGCTAAACTGCCTAAAAGGTAAAGACATTTGTGGATTCAGTATTATTAGGTAAGTCATGGGGATAAGAACATTCTGATTTATCGTTGGTAGAATAATTGTCATATTTTACTGCAATGTGCTTTGAATTTCTATGGTGTTTTGTTTATTACTAGAATGTGGATTTTTACCCTGTGGATTCCAATTCAGATCTAATATGAGACATCGCAATTATCCTTTTTTATGTTTGTCTGGACATTTTACTTTTTCTAATGAAAAGAAACACAAAATAGTGTTGACACCATTGCCTGAATATTCATATTGATTGGTTCATATCTATTTGTGCAAAGGGAGTTTCATCATTAGATCTTCTCAGAGTTTAAAGTCAAAATAAACAAGATAACTGAACTTTGAGTTGAAACTAATGGGATTAAAGCCATTTTTAAATCCGCTCTTTATTTTTGCTTTTACAATAACATAAAATCACTTTGTTAATGCAATCATGTTACAGTGTTCTATTTCTCACTCTAAAAATCTTTTCCTGTAGGTTCTTTCCAGCCAACAAATGAAATGATGCTGAAATTCTATAGTTTTTATAAGCAAGCAACTCAAGGACCTTGTAATAGTCCAAGGCCAGGATTTTGGGATCCTATTGGTAGATACAAATGGTAAATAGTATATAACAAAGATGTTTTTAAAGAATTAAAGTGATGCCTTGTCTATTCCCCACCCACTCCTTTTATAGAAAGATTTTGTCTTGGTGATACAGCACAACCTTTGTCCAAATTCTGACCTTGTTATATCCAGATGGTGCTAAAAAAGTATTTTAAAATATAATCCTGAAAACTCTGGAGATCATAGAAACACTTTTCCTTCTGCCTGTTATTGATACTTTTTTAAAATAAAAGCTAATACAAAAATATAAACGTATGTACTATTTGAAATAGAGCTTGATCACTTTCTTGCTTTTTTTTTAAAGTGAACTAACAACAATGTGATTACTGGAAAAAAAATCTATGCAGTTCCTTAGATAATAAGCACAAAAGCCCACAGTCCTATATTAATTATTGAAGTTACTATTACATAACAGTACAGCAGCCTAGTATTTTAAAGATGTTCTTCCTGTGACTTTCATTGTAGGGATGCATGGAATTCATTGGGCACAATGCCCAAAGAAGATGCTATGATTGCATATGTTGAAGAAATGAAAAAGGTAAGAACTGTTTTATATACATTATATATATATATATGAGAGAGAGTTTAGCCCATTGTAGAAGTTTGTGCCTGTGAGAGAGAGAGAGAGCAGACTCTCCAAAAAAATTGCCTGCACCTGAGCTCCCTTCTCCCTTTATGTGCTGATCTTCCCAGCGTTAGCTCAGCAAACCTGATTACAAAAGCTGAGCCATAAAATAACTGAGGAGAGAAATAATGACGTGTGTAAGTAAGGCAGAAAGGCATTTTTTCCTTAGCAATACTTACAAGGAGGAGTAGCAGCTGTAATAGGAGTAGTAGCAGCGGGGAAGATTAGAAAAGAGTGAGTAGTGAATAATAGTAGAGGTGAGTACATGTGTGTGTTATCTAGGAACCTATGTTGTTGTTAGCTCTTGTATGTCTTTAGCTCCACAAATTGAGTATAGTCTTTTTTTTTAACTGCAACAATGTGAGGCAAACAGGCTTCCCTGGATAGCTGGAGGTGGAGTTAGTTTTCTTCATTCCTTATCACCCACCCCCTTCCCACTTGTGACTGTATGGCTGTAACTTTGTTGCTTGTATCCTTACAATTTATATTGACTGTTTCCTAGTATGATTTGATTGCTTATTGCACCCTATGATTATTATTAAGTGTTGTACCTTATAATTCTTGACTCTGGACAAATGTATCTTTTCTTTTATGTACACTGAGAGCATTTGCACCAAGACAAATTCCTTGTGTGTCCAATCACACTTGGTCAATAAAGAATTCTATTCTATTCCATTCTAGTTTATAGCAAAATAAAATTAAATGTGTGCCATTTTAAATTGCTGCTTAAAGAGGGTTTTTTTGTTGGAGGAAATGTATTTATGAATGGCTTGAAAAAGAAGCATCAAAAACTAAAAAATATGTAAAACTCTCACTACAGTTTGGCGGCTTATCAAATCTTGTCTTCTCCAGAGTTTTTGGTATGTCTGATCCCACTTTGAATGTAGAGAAATGTAGCATTTTCCAATTTCTTGATACTGAGTAAAAAAGGATCATTACGTTCTAAATGCATACTCTTTTTAGTAGATATTAATATATGTTGAAAGGGTGTGTGAATTCATATGACTAGAAGATTAGAAGTTGATAAACCTTTAATAATTTGCTAGCTACACCTGTTTTGTTTTTAAAGATTGCCCAACTATAGAAGGGCAAATGTAAGGAATGGCAAGTATCTATGAAATTGAGTAATTTAGTCAGGTTTATACAGGAATTGTAAGTAACTGTTAATGAATAACGCATCTTGATATATCATTTAACACCATCTTCAAAACAAGATATTTCTCATATGAATGAAAAAGACTTTATGTGTTTTTGTTGTCGCATTTGTATTCATGTTTACCATTTAGCTCTATTCATGGTCAATAGAATCTTCCAAGTAAGTAGACCTACTTTGTAGCGTTATATAGTGAAATCTTGTTTTTAACAAACTGAAATGAAGAATTTGTTCTGTGAAAAACATTTTAAATATGTTGCAAAAAAAAAAAAAAGAGTTTAATGGGACAAGTATCCTGCTCAAAAGAGATGGATAAGTGGACCATTGTTTAGAACAGGAAGAAAAAAGATAGTTGAACTACTTTTCTGTACAGGGGATTGTTTTTGAAATATAGTGTAAGGACATAATTATGCCATTTGTGTAAGGACATAATTATGCAAGCCACGTCATATTACACTAATTATGTCAATTTAGATTATTTATGTAATAATGTCCTTAAAGCAATGATGAAAAATAACATGTAAGTGTAATCTCTGATTTACTGGACATTCATGTGGCTTCACTCCTAGCCAGGACAAACTACTTAAAGAAGTTCACAAGAAAGAAACAAAAAAAACCCAGATAAGTAATATTTATTAAATAAAATTAGAAGCTACAACCAAGTGATGTAAACAATTGTGAAATCTACTGCATGTAAAAATCATGTCATTGAGGTACAGTAAATTGAGGTTTTGCTATAATTAAAAAACTAGTGTGTACTCTTTTAAACAAGAAATAAACACCAAAAAAATGTCAGGTGGAAGGAATTGGAACAGTACCACGAGTGTTGATCAGAATTGCTTCTTTATTGTTGCATGCCTATTTACAAGAATCTTGCCAGGCTCACCCCATTCTCTTGGAAGTAGCTGGACAAGGGATTCTGGAGGAGGTCAGGTCCATGTGCCTTCTTGCTCTGCAAGGACTCTAAGCTAGCTAGTCTTTTCCTCCTCCTACTCTAGCTAGAGATTCCACTGCAAATATGCTGACATCCTAGAAATATTGGGAACCCTTCTAAAAGTAAATAGTAGATAAAATTGGTTAATGCAAACATTGAAGGTTTGCTGATTTAGTTTTGATAGCTGTTGGCTACAATCCAAATCTGTTTGAGAAGAGATTCTTCTTGTGGGACTGGTTCTTAGCAAAGCATCACAGAGATTGTCAAACTTAGCACTGAAAGGTGTGTGGTTCATTCATGTTTTGTGTTTCTCCAGATTCTTGAAACAATGCCGATGACAGACAAAGTTGAGGAGCTGTTACATGTTTTAGGCCCATTTTATGAAATTGTAGAGGATAAAAGAAATAAAGGATCTGATCTAATCACAGGTGGGAATACATAACTCTCTTATCTCTTATCAGCTATAAATTGCTTAACTTTACGTTATACTGTAATGCTATTTCTCTGCCTTTTACTACCAGTGATTTAAAAGAATATTAAAGCTTTTTGTGGTACAGATTAACAACCACTCGTTCAGCAATCTTTTGAACCCACAACACCTCTGAATGAATGCTCCTCAAAATTCTAGCATTTGCAGTATCCCCATGTTCACAAGATCACCATTTCTGACCTTCTCTGCCAACTTCCTATAAATAAAATCAAATATTAACCAGTGGTGTTCTTGCTTAACAATCCACAGTGAATGTTTAACAGCAATCATAAATGTTGAAATTTCAGTCACTAAATGGCTAGTTCACACGGCACTTTACTACATGTTTCTCAATTCCGTTCCCAATTGCCATTGGTAACTGAAGATCACATTTGTTTTAGAATAAATTCCATTGAATATTGAAAAAAGACGTATATGGTAGGGTTACCATACTTGAGTTGCAAAGTTCGAGAATTCCCTTAAATGGCAGCAAAAATTTAGACCTTCTTGATCTTCCACCTAATGGTTGTTCGGATTTTTTCAATCTAATATATAAGTTATAAATATCAGAAAAACAAGACTGCTAATAATTCCTGTGAAAATGCATTTATTTCTATTACCATAAGCATGGAAATGTTCTTTGTTCTGGCTAGCCTTGGTTAGCTCTTTTTTTTCATAATGTCTAAAGCAGAAGTTTCCAACCTGCAGCCCGCAGGTCACCTGTGATTCTGAACAGCTAGCAGTGCAGCCCCACAAGATTGTAAATTTTTAACAATAATATATTTTATATGCAGCCCAAGACAATTCCTCTTCATTCAGTGTGGCCCAGGCAAGCCAAAAAGTTGGACACCCATAGTCTAAACAAATATGCATTAATTCTCTTATTTTTTTCCTTCAAGAAAATGAAATATTATGAACTGAAATATGAGATCTAGATTCTATTATTCATAGCTAGTTACATTCTGCATATGGTAACAAAAAAATAGCGATCTTGTTATCCTGCAATTCTCCTTTCCATGCCTCAGGTGAGTAGGATTTTACATAACATAATTAGCTTGGTTAAATATTTCATTTTGTAAGTTTGCGGAAAAGGTTGGCTCACAAACCAATCAAAGAAGCTGGGTTTGCACAACTTAAAAAACAGTGGAAGATTAAAACAGTTAAGCTAGTTATTAACTGATATGATTGTATAAACACAACCACTTTTAATGCTCAGGTTATGAGTTTTATCTCTCATCTCCCTTGGTGATGGTTTTCAAGATGGCTGCTCACATGGATGCTGCAGCTAACTGTTCCTTCTTTCAGTGTATGATGTGTATGATTCTGTGTGTGTTTTGGATCCTTTCCTTGATTGAATTCTATGGGGCAAGGAGCATCTATAGTCGGCAAACCTTGATACAAATTGGACTGAAATGTGAAAAGGCTATTACGGACAATTTTATACATTCTCATAACATACCGAAGGAGGCAGGTAGGCCCTTTGGGAGCCATGGATCACTGTCCCTGTAGGAAGGAGGAAGAGGAGGAGAAAGAAGAACAGGAAGAGGAAAAAAGGATGCCGTGCTGGGTTTTCTTTAGACTGAGTAAGTTTCCACACAAGCCTTCAATTCCAAGTATATTTCTTACCAGTGCAAGATCTCTGACTAACAAAATGGACGAATTAAGGCTACAGATTACAAAGCCCAAAATCATCGAGAACTGCTGTGTTTTGCTAATCACAGAAACTTGGTTTATTTACTCATTCCAGATGCAGCTGTTGAGCTGGAAGGCTACATAGCTCACCGGCAGAACAGGAGTAGAGATTCTGGCAAGATCAAAGGAGGAGGTTTAAGCCTTTATGTGAACAAAAGCTGGTCTATCAATACAAAGACTATAGACAGCCACTGCTCCATGGATCTGGAGTATATGACTCTTAAATGTAGACCCATATATCTTCCACAGGAAATCAGTGGTTTTGATTACTGCAGTCTATATCCCACGTGATGTCAATACTACCATAGCTTTGGAATTCTTGTATAACATTGTTAGTAATCAGCAGAATAAGTATCCTGATGCTGTGCATATCATAGTGGGGGGCTTTAATCAAGCAGATTTAAAAGAAGTGCTCCCTAAATTCTATCAGCATGTTAAGTGTGCTACTAGAGGAACAAACATATTGGACAAAGTATATACCAACATCAAACATGGCTATAAGATTATACAGTTACCACATTTGGGACAATCAGACCATATGTCACTGCTTTTAGCACCAGCGTACATCCCTCTTAGGAGATGGGCTCTGCCTATAATAAAGACAGTGAAATCTTGGCTAGAAGATGCTTCCCAACAACTTCAGGATTGTTTTGAGAACACAAATTGGGACAACTTTTACCACCCTGACCTAGAAAAGCACACTGCAAATGTTCTGTGCTATATCAAACACTGCACAATACTATCACTGTGGATAAACATATTAGGATCTATCCCAATCAGAAACCCTGGATGACCAAGGAAGTCCAGCACCTCTTGCGTGACGGGACTTTAGGTCCGGTGATGGGGCAAGATACAGTGTTGCCAGAGCTAATCTGAAGAAAGGTATTCAGAAGGCCAAGACTGATTATAAGAGGAAAATTGAGGATAATTTTTATACCAATAACATGAGGCAGGTATGGCAAGGGATTCAACAAATTACAAACCATCAACTGACCAATGTCATCCCTGCTGAGGGGGATGCTTCATTGGTAGAGGAACTGAATCATTTCTTTACTCACTTTGAAGTGGAGACATTAGAGACAGATTAAAATACAACTACCAGCCAATTGTAGCCCCCACCTCATTGCGGAGGAACAGGAGGTGAAGAGCATTCTGAGGGCTGTGGATCCTAGAAAAGCTGCCGGTCCTGACGGTATCTCTGGCCGAGTGCTTAAAGACCGTGCTGATCAGTTGGCTGGAGTCTTTACCAGGATCTTCAATACATCTTTATCCCAGTCCACTATTCCATCTTGTTTGAAGGCTTCCACCATTGTTCCACTGCCAAAGAAGTTCCCTATCAATAAACTCAACAATTGCAGACCAGTGGCACTCACTCCTATCATCATAAATTGTTTTGAGAAATTGGTCTGCCGGCACATCATTTCTGGTCTTCCACATACATTTGATAAACACCTTGCATACAGAAGAAATAGATCTACAGAGGATGCTATAGCTATAACTCTTCACACTGCTCTGACTCATCTAGAACAGCGAGAGGGGGGCTATGTGAGGATGCTTTTTGTGGATTTTAGTTCGGCGTTTAACACAATTCATCCACATAGACTAGTGTCTAAACTTCTGGACCTTGGGCTTGCTTATTCAATCTGCCTTTGGATTATGGATTTCCTGTCTGGCCACTCACAGAGGGTCAGATTAGGTAATCATACCTCTTCAGCCCTTATTCTTAACACTGGTACACCACAGGGTGCGTGTTGAGTCCCTTGCTCTAAACTCTTTATGTGCATGACTGCATTCCCACTCACGCTAGTAATACTATTGCTAAATTTGCAGATGATACAACGGAAGTGAGACATCTCCGTGGGGGATGAGTCTGCCTACCGAGATGAGGTGGACCAGTTGCTTTTGTGGTGTGAAGACAATAACTTGGTTCTCAACACTAATAAGACCAAGGATCTTATAGTGGATTATAGAAGGAACAGATCAGACCTCCAGCCCTTGCTTATCAATGGAGACCGAGTGGAGCAAATGGCCAATTTTAAGTTTTTGGGTGTTGCCCACATTGCACCCCTGGTCAAAAGGGCCCAGCAGAGATTATACTACCTGAGACTTCTTAGAAAACAACAACTGAATGAAAAACTGCTGGTGACCTACCGCTGCATCATAGGGAGCATTTTAACATACTGCATCTCTGTATGGTTTGCCAATTGCATAGTGGCAGATAGGAAAGCACTCCAGAGGGTTAATGTCATTGCCCAGAAGATCATTGGTTGCCCTCTCTCCTCTTTGGAAGAGCTTTATAGCTCCCACTGCCTTAAGAAAGTTCAAAACATTCTCAAAGATCCATCTCATCCTGGGAACCCTTTTTTTGAACTATTACCATCTGGTAGACAGTACAGAATAATTAAAAAAAAAGGGCAAATAGGCTGAAAAACAGCTTCTATCCCAGGGCAGTAGCTCTTTTGAATTCTGCTGTATAGTGCAGTGTTGGTGTGGTGTTGGGGGTTTCTTGTTCAGTGTGTGAAGGGTGAAGGAAGTGTGTTTGTGTTTATTTTCATGGTCATGGTCCTGATGTGCACTGAAGATGGTGTTTGATTTCGTTGTACGAGGTGCAATGACAATAAACTAAACTAAACTAGAGAGCTGCAGGTTTTCCGCTGTGCGGAATGTGGGAATGTGATACCTCTTTGCGATAAAATGCCTGATGGCTATATTTCTAAGCAGTACAATTAGAAAAACGTGGAAGAGATGTTGGCTGCATTCTTTGTATAAATATTAACACTGTGTAGCTTTTATATCGCATAAGGTCAATGCTACTTAATCAGATAGTAGGTGAAATAAAACCTGTAAATTCAAGCATTTAATTAAGATATTCTCTTATCCTTCTCTCCTAATTTGCCACAAATAATTACATTATCTGAGGGTATATAGACACAAACACACAGAGAAAATAGGTCTTGATTTATCACTATTATAGTGATATGAAAAAAATCCTGGCAAAAAAAATCAAAGGGGCTTTGGTCTTATTTACTTCTAAGAATATTGCTCTCTTTTGCTCTGCCAAACCAGGCAAAGCAACTTTAGCAGAACATTTGCAAAGCAGTTGTTCAATTAAAAAAATTTTTTTTAAACCATTTCATTAGCCAAAGTAGCATTTTCCAGTTTGATCATCAGTTAAAAATCAGTATGTACATCAAGAAACTAATCTTTAAAAATAAGTAGGTTATTTAGCTTCTTGAAAACAAAAATCTGTAATATGCTTTTTGTTGTTATTATCAACTAAAAACAACCCTAGCTATATATGGATGTCTAGTACGAAATTTAGCACTTGTCACTGGATGTGAATAGAATATTTTGGAAAAGCATGAGTGTCAAATGGTGCTACTGTACATTTGGTCTACTTGAAATGCTCTTATGACGCCATAAGAGGGTGTCTATTTTAATGTTCATGAAATGTATTCAGCAGCAACAAAGTTCTTACGGATAGCTAAACTTTCCAATTATTTGGATACATAGTTTTCCGATTGACAGCAAGTAATGATGTTACAAATACAATGAAAAGTCTCAGAGCATCTTAAAAAGTCTTAGTTTATATAGCATAAGCCATAGGTCTCCAAGCTTGGCAACTTTAAGACTTGTGGAGTGGCCTAGAATTCTCCAGCCAGCTTTGCTAATATGGAGAATTCTGGGAGTTGAAGTCCACAAGTCTTAAAGTTGCCAAGCTTTGGACCTCTGGCATAAGCCAATATTCCTCAATCATAGCAGCTTTAAAATTGTAGATTTCAAATTCCTGCAGGGCTGGCTGGGGAATTCTGGGAGTTGAAGTCCACACTCCTTAATGTTGTGAGGCTGAAAAACACTGTCATAAGCATTAATGGCATCAGTTTTAGTGTGGTACACATCAGAGGTGATATTCAGCAGGTTCTGACCAGTTCTGGAAAACCAGTAGTGGAAATTTTGAGTAGTTCAGATAACCGGCAAATACCACCTCTGACTGTAGATTTTACAGTATCCTTCCCCTGCCATGCCCACAGAATCAGTAGTAAAACATTTTGAATCCCACCACTGGTACACATCCTCATGGATGAGCATGTATTTCATCAGAGACACGAAATATTATTTTACAGCTTCTGATGAAGTGGAGTTTAATTAAGAAATACACATTTATGCCATATTAAAGTTATCCTTGTTTTATTACCATGAGAGTCCCTAGTTCTGGTGAAATATTGTTACTGATTTAAAAAGCTGTAGAAATAACATTCTGACTGCTATGGCAATAATGTAATTGAGAAAAAGGTCAGTAAATGATATCCATGCATGTGCATTTTTCAGTAATTATATTTTAGTGTTGAGTCTAGATTAAGTTTTTTTCCCCTTTTTCCTACTTAATGGATCACTTGAAATTGATTGTCAAGAATTTGCAGATTGGACAATGATACCGTAGTTTAGGGAAAAGCGGGGAGCAGGTAAAACAATCATATGTATCATTCACAGTTGTATTATTTTTATTAGTATTATATACATTATAAGTCCTGATTTTGCTTCAGATTAAATTATTTTTTCTGCAATTGGACAGAGTAGTGGTCTTCCAGCATCTTATAATTTTCATTTCATTGTTCACTTTTTATCACATTAGGCAAGGAGAACAAAAGCGAAATACTGTATTAATTATTTTATCAGAGAAGGTGCTAAGGGGAAAAAAAACCTGAGCAAATTTTGCCTATAACATCAGGCTTATTCCAATAGACATATCTGTAAAAATATTCTGAATTGTTAATGTATGACACGACATTGATTGATGCATTCACATTTCACCCTTCTTCTACGAGCCCAAGGCAATGTAACGATTTTCTCTCTGATATTTAAGGCACAAAATATTATCAGCTAATCCACCCCTTAATTATCCTGAACTTATTTTGGGTTCTGAATAAAAATGGATAGCCAAGGATGATGCACAAAACCCGAAATGTAACATACACATGCATTGTAGGTGATCAAGTTATGCTACAGAAAATCGGTCAATCTGTGAACAGAGACTGTGGTTTGTATAACAGCCCTGCAGAAATTGTACTAAAATCAGTAGTAGAAGTAAATCCCACTATATTATGTAGTAATGAATGAAAGCGATAGAGAACTATATGTAGGTAATCTTCACTTAATGACTTAATGATTTTCAAAGTTGTGATGGACATCAACAAAAGCTATTTACGGCCAGTCCTCAAAGTTACAATTGCCATATACACACCTCCAGTCATGAGATAGCATTTTGAGCATTTGACAACTGGCTTGAATTTATGACTGATTGCAGCATCTTGCAATCACCACAATTTATGATGAAAATGTTAAAAAACATCCATTGGATATTCTGGATTCACTTAAGGGCATAATCCATTCAGAGGTGATATTCAACCGGTTCTGACCAGTTCTAGAGAACCAGTAGAGGAAATTTTGAGTGGTTTGGCAAATTTTATAGTATCCTGTTCTTGCCACACCCACCAAGCCATGCCCACAGAACCTGTAGTAAAAAAATTTGAATCCCACCCTGAATCTGTTCATAATCTATCTTTGACTCTCTGTAGACTTTAGTAAATTTTGTGTTTTTAAATAATTAGCTTGTCATGTCCTATGTACAAGTTAGAATAATGCTAATAAGATTTTTTGCTATAGCCACTGTTAATATAGTATTCCACTCTCGGGAGTTTTACAATGTGGACTTGAAGAGGAAGGAAAAGTGACTTGCATTGTTATTCCAAATGAAAATTAGATAAAGGTAAAGGTTTCCCATCCAATCAAATCTGACTCTGGATTTGGGAGTGGTGTTCATCTCCATTTCTTAGCTGAGGGAGCCACCATTGTCCAAAGATGCTTCCATGATCATGTAGCCAGCATGGCTGTACATCAAAGTGCATAGAACATTGTTAGCTTCCCACTGAAGTGGTTCCTATTTATCTACTTGCATTTGTGTACTTTGTAAATAGGCAAGAGCTGGGGGAAGCAACAAGTGGTCACTCTGTTGCGCAGTGCACAAGTATTGAACACAGGCCGTCAGCTTTCTAGCTGACAAGCTCAGCGTCTTTAACCACTGAGGCATCATGCCCCATGAAAATTAGGTACCTAAACAATTATTTTACAAACACGGTTTTTAGGTAAATAAAATTTATCTTAATAGATCCTCACAAAGCTGTGCCAGCTGTGAATGGAAAATCAGAAAACAATGACAGTGGAGCAGAATCGGAGGAAGAACCACAACAGGAAGAATTGAAAGATGTCCAACAGATTGATAAAGGTACACACTTATTTCTGAATAGCATCTACACCTTTTCATAGGTTTTTGGAAAAGCCGCTTCTTGGGATGGCAAAAAATAAAATAAAATAAAATGGCAAGCTTTGTTGGGAAACAGTTATGGTATCCTAACAGTAATGAGAAAGCATGATTCTCAGTTATATTAGATTTTCAGTATTCTAAATTGTAGGTTCTAGTTATTTGAAGGACCATCTGTCTTCCATAGTATCTGCTCAACTGATCCAAAGTGGCTGAGTTGGTGTTCTCTGGGTTCCTTAAGTTCAGTATTAAAAAGAACCAGTTTGGGTCTATTATCCAGTGAAAATGAGCCATGCAAATCTGTTTGATAATTCTCTCCCTTAACTTCTGAAAGAGAGCCAATTTGTTAAAGGTTATAAGCCTAAAACCAGAAGATTGTCAGTTTTAATTCCCTTTAGACATGGAGCCAGATTCCTTCTGTGAGCCCTAGGAAGGAGACAATGGCAAACTGCTTTTGAAAACTTTTTAATAAAACTGCAGGGACAGTGATGAATTGAATAAATAATTCATAATGTTATTCTTTGTCGCTTATTTATGAGTTAATTTCACTGCATACAAAAAAGCATTCTTTTTCAAATAAGCAATTACAGAGTTGGGCTATGCAGATTGAATATCAATACATAAGATTCAGACTTCTTTTTAAAATAAAGAAACTATTTACATCAAATTTAGACATTGCCCCTCTCACTGTCTAAGTCAGGAGTCTTAAAACCTGACAGCTTTAAGGCTTGTGGACTTCAATTCCCAGAATTCCTCCTCCAGTCATGTTAGTTCAGGAATTCTGGGAGTTGAAGTCTACAAGTTGAAGTCTGCCAAGTTTGAAGACCCTTGGTCTAAGTCAGCAACTCCCAACCTTTGGGGCATAAGGGACTGGTTCTGTGAAGAGAGATTTTTCCATGGACCAGAGGGTGTGTGGTTTTATGTGCTGCTTGCATCCCATGGATGGAGCTTTGCTTGTTTGCATGGTTCAGTTTCTGGCATGCTTCAGAGCGGTGCCAATCCATGGACCGGGAATTGGGGACCTATGGTCTGAGTGACTCTGGATGGTTTCCAGGTAAAAATCATAAAACCATACAAAAACACCATAACACAACTAAAAACAAAATTAGAGATAATTAAAAGGTGGAGGGAGTACTTTCAATCCAACTAGTGCTACTCTTCAATCCTCGTGCCAGTTAGAAGAGCCAAGTCTTCACACTGTTCCAAAAGGCCATAAAAGTAGGGACCGTTGTCCCTCTGAATGCAAGGTTTTCCATAGAGTAGAGCAACTCTCTTCCTAGATCCTGCCAGCCAAAATTCTTTAACCAAAGGAGTCTTGTATCATTCCCTCCTCCCTGCCTAACTGGGTGGAACAGGTTGAAGTAATTGGGACACAATGGTTCTTCAGGTAAGCTGATTCTATGCCATGCCAATTGAGAAATCTTTTAATGCTTGTAAGTAAATCCTATAATTCTGTACTTGGGTAGTTGGATTCTTGGAATTCAGTTGCACTCAGTTACAAAGATTCTACTCCCAGATACTGTAAATGTGTACACTGTTCCCACTTTTTTTCTAATGGCAATTAATATTCCAATTTACAATGTACAAAATGAAAATGTATAGACAGCAAGTTATTGGGAGAAATCAGATCCATGGGTCAGCCATGGAAGTTCAGAGCTAAGTTGGGTGGTTCTCATACACTCTTAACCCAACATTTAAAGTTGTTGTGGGAGAAATGAGAGAAGCTGCTATGCCTGTTGCCTTGACCATCTTGAAAAAATCGGTGGCACATATATTGTTAGATGTAATATAAATAACAGTTTGATGGATTTTTAAAAAAGAACAAGCTATTTCAAGCACTTTGATTACAAATGACTATTTAGATTAATCTGTGAAATATTTAGTTCATAAATATTGTCTGTATTGTTCAACAAATAAATAGGTACAGGTAGTCTTTGATTTGTTTAGTGACCATTCGAAGATACAATGGCACTGAGAAAAATTAACATGAACGTTTTTCACACTTACGACCACTGCAGCATCCCCATGGTCACATAATCAAAATTCAGACACTTGGGCAACTGACTCATGACTGTTGCATTGTTTCTGGGTCATGTGATCATCTTTTGTGACCTTTTGATCAGCAAAGTCAATGGTGAATCCAGACTCACTTAACATGTTACTGGCTAAACAACTTCATTAGTTCACTTAGCAGCTATGGTATGAAAGGCCATGAAATGGGGCAAAATTCACCTAACTATCTTGTTAGCAACAGAAAGTTTGGGCTCAATTGTGGTCATAAGCCAAGGACTATCTGTATTTGTAAAAATAGAGTACCGTATGTGATAATGAGGTTGTTTGCAAATTTATCTACATAGGATCTTCAGAAGAAGATGTGAAACAAGATTCATCCCCTGATAAGGATTTAAATGGCGTGGTTATTAATGGAAGTTGTAACGCTGTTTCCAACGTTGATGTGAACAATGGCATACAGACCAAATCTAAATTGAATGGCATCAATGTGGATGATGAAATAAAGACAAGTGAAAAGTGCCTTGAGTTACCAGTCATCCCTAACTGGGATTCTACTCATCAAGGTACCATCTTCAGATGCTTTTATTATCCAAATCCACATGAATAGAATAGAATAGAACAGAATAGAAAACAGAACAGAAAACAGAACAGAGAACAGAAAACAGAACAGAAAACAGAACAGAAAACAGAACAGAAAACAGAACAGAAATGAACAGAACAGAAATGAACAGAACAGAATAGAATAGAACAGTTGAGTTGAGTTGCAAGGGACCTTCTAGGTCATCAAGTTGAAGCCCCCACCCAAGCAGGAGACACTACACCCTTTCTGACAGGTGGCAGTCCAGTCTCTTCTTGAAACCTCCCACAACTTCTGAAGGCAAGTAGTTCCATTGGTTGATTAATGTTTGCCAGTGTGGATAATTTTTCAGAAAACTTTTCCTGTTGGTATTACTTGGTTTCTTTTCTAGCATTGATGCATGCAGGAGAGCAAACAGTGGGTTGGTGCCCAGTTTAAATGAAGAATTAATTTAAATAGCCTTTCACATAGTCTGCCATGGTACCATGAACACCCGTTTCCTTTGGCTGCAGTCAAATAGTCCTACTTTCTGATCATTTGTTTTCCTGCTTAAGTGGGAAGATTAATATTTCCTACTTTTCTGTCTGCTTAAATAATGGAGCAAGTAATGGAGCTCCCTTAAATCTTAGCATCCAAAAGACGGTCAGCTTTTTGTTTAAGCTGATGAATACTTTTTCTGCAAAAAATACTTATGGACATTACATACCAGGCATGTCAAACTGATGGCCCATGGGCTGGATGCGTCACATGCAGGCCACACCTACCCTGGCTCCACAAAGGCAAAAAATAATGCATATACGTCATGATACGTCACATGACACGATTGAGTTTGACACCTGTGTTATACGGTGCTCCTTAATATTTTGCCTCTTCAACAGTGTCAACCAGGGGTGGGATGCTACCGGTTCTGCCTGGCTCTGTAGAACCAGTAGCTCTGAAGACCAACAGACACAGAACTGGTTCTGTTTGGCCCACCCACCCACCCGGGCTGTTACCTGACCTTTATTTACTGCTTTTTCAACCTCACCTGAGGTTGAAAAAGTAAGGAAAAAGTGGCTTTTAAAATGCTGCGCATCTGCGCACAGCGCTTATCAGATGTCTGGGTGACACAGCTTTAGATGTATTACACGTGCGTGCAGCAAAACGTAATCACCAAACCTGTAGTAACACCAGTGGAATCCCAGCCCTGGTGTCAACACTTGGGAGAAAAAGAAGGAATAACAATAGACTGATGTCTACATATAGAACACTGTATACTGTGTGTAGATATATATTCTAAAATGAACCTAAATCATGACAAGTGTATATATGTAAACTATGAATCAGATCAAATGAAGGTAAAGATGCTTTCAAATGGAACATGGCTCTTTGTGATTGCATGGGCTCAACCCAGATTTTTTTTGCTTTGGAATAAAGTCTTTCCCAAAATGTCATTTTATTTCTCAACCTAGCATACTCCCATCCATGTATTAACCAATCTGATCATGGTTACACACCTAGACCAGATTGGCCGGGTTAGCTAAGAGTGATCATACCTCTGCTATTTATCCACTTAGAAAACACAGAAATGTAAATATATGCAAGTCTTGTATGTACAAAGAAAAAGATAGGGCCAACATAATTAAGAATTGTATATTAAAAATTTGTAATTTATTTTCCCCTCATGCAGAGACTGAAAAATCTTTGAGACATTGACTTTTCTATCTTTGATATTGCATTAAAACTGTGATTTTTAAAATATACCTATGTGCATATTTATTTTCTCCAAGTTAATTGGGATTAAATTAATTTACCACACAGACACACAACACAGATATAAAATATTAACAGCATTATTTAATTGTGAACTATCATTGCAAACAAGATTCATTTTAGCTGCTCGTTCGCAAACCATTAAATTTTTACAAATTGCTAGGTTAAAAATGTAATTCTCAGTACTGGTGTTTGATTGGATATTTTAATATTTAAGTATTAAATATCCATTGTTCATAAGTATTTGTTCATGTATACATATAGGTCAAAATGAAGATACTATTGAAGTGTCTGGAATTCAACTCTTGACAAGTGACTCAGATAGTGAAATATACTGTGATTCAATGGAGCAGTTTGGACAAGAAGAGGTAAATTTGCAGTCTGTTATGTTGTAATATAAAAAATACGTACATGATAATCATTCTACCAAATACACAAAATGGTTTTGAGGCTGTAAACAGTAACCATCTTGTATTGCTTACCTGGCCAAAGAATTTACTCAGAATCAGTTCTAATTTCTAATAAACAATAATAAATCTTACCTAAGAGCCTTCATCCTTCTGAAAACTTAATGTTAGCTTTAAAAAAGTAATAGTTTGTATCTATGCCTCTTTGGATTTAACTTGCATTTAATTAAAAGCAAAGAGTAAGGGGGAGGCTAGTAAATAATGTCATCTTATAATGGAAGAGATACAGTTAGTCCTTGATTTACGACCACAATTGCTTTTCTATTGCTGAGCAAAGCAGTTGCTAAATGAGTCACACACAATTCCATGACATTTTTTGCTATAATTGTTCAGCAAATCACTGAAGTTGTTAAATAAATAGTTATTAAGTGAATCCAACTTTCCCAATAGATTTTGCTGGTTGGAAGCCAACTGGGAAGGTTGCAAATGGCAATCACATGACCACAGGATTGCTGCAACCATTGTAAATACATGCAGATTGCCAAGTGCCTGAATTTTGATCACATGATTGCATATTTTTTCTGCTGTGATACCTGCTTCATGGAATATTCTTCTCTCAAAAATTAGATTAGCTCCATTGCTTTTGATATTCCATAAGGCTCTCAAAATCCGTTTATGTTATTAGGCCCAGGGCTCTCAAAGAACCAGTGACATGCTTAGATGGCTCCATGCTGAGCTGCTTATTTTTATTCCCTTTTCAGCTAGGATTTGTATCTGTTTTTATAATACTTATTGCTAATGTGACTTTTTATATATATATATATATTTAAATCTGTGGTTTTTACATATGATTTTACCTGTTTGTTATGCACCAGAGACTCCTTGGGTAAGATGGGAAGCTATATAAGTTTGATAAATAAATAGTGCCTTTTGTCTTGTTATAGATCCTGGAAATCAGCTCATCAGTCAAGGAAATTTCCAGACATCCATTAACTTTCTCAGAAGTAGATCATAATAATCTGTTAGAAACTTCCAGTTTTCTTGAACTTGCAAATCACAAAGCAGAAAGTATAAAGGAAGGTGCACCTGAAGGAAAAGGCGAAGTCAAGCGTGGTGGTGAAGATGGCAAAGCAAATGATAGAGGCCCTCAAAAAGAGAAGACAAATAGTGAAAAGGTTGACCTCTATGGAGTTCGAAGGGGAAGAGGTATTATTGGGATACGTATTTTGTTGAAACTTGCATAAATGAGACATGTTTAAAATCATTCTTAACATTTCTTATAATAATGGTTTTGTATGTGGTTGATACATAAACTATATTTATATATAATACATATTAGGGCTGTGCACACTTTGAAAATGATTCACAATAGAACTTTGAAACTCTATTAAAGCAGCCACATCTTTATTAGACTTCTGTACAAGCCTGAAAAAGGCACTGCTTTAAGAATCCTTTTAAAGCAGTGGCATCTTCTTTCACATTTTCCTGTAAGATTGGGGAAAAAAATTACTTTATGAAAAGCATTGTGCCTTTGCACAATGTACAAGCATCATGAAATCTTTTTGAAAATATACATAGCTCTGATTTATTTACATTGCTTCTAAAAGTATTTTCCCCTTAATTTAGGACATAGAATGTACCCTGTAGGAGATGGTGGCCAAGGTGGACAGGTGGGCAGTGGAGGAGACGGAGAACGATGGGGTTCGGACAGAGGACCACGGAGCACCCTCAATGAACAGATTGCAATTGCACTCATACGATTGCAAGAAGATATGCAAAATGTTCTTCAGAGATTACATGCCCTTGAGGCACTCACAATCTCACAGGTAAACATATGTGGATTAGTATCCAAGAAAGTCTACCTATCTCTACAGTGCCACAGTTCAATGTGGGATATTTTCAAGGCAAGTATATATCTGAATATGCCCGTGAACTTTTAAGAAGTTTTCCAATGAAAGTAATACATTAGAAGTTCTGCCATTATTGAATCTGGTGAAGAAATGTCTCTGAAACCATGGGTCATGGATTGTCTACAAGATTGCTAAAACTTTCATGTGTCTTTGACTATAACCGCCAATTGGGCAAAATGGTGCCTCATAAGACAATAATTTTTGAATCAAGATACCTCAAACGGGCTTACTGAATGCATTCAAAATCCAGGAACATGATTCATGTGAGATTGAAATTTAGCAAACCTGTAGCTGCTTCAGTGCTGCCATGCTGATGCACCACTTCCTGCAGGTTTACTATACTGGCCCCACACTAGCCCTCTGGAGGTTGGGTAGATAGGTCCTATCATCAGCTGCCTAAGAACAGACAAGCAGGTGGAAAGTTTCTTCCATTACCATTACTTTTTGGCCCTTGACCCATTGTTTCTGTTTAGGAAAGGAAATACTTCTAAAACTATGACCCAACATGACATGGGTTGTCTAGTCTTTCTTAAACTCTTGGAAGCTTATTAGCTAAACTATTTAGAGGAGAAAATTTTTGCCTTTGAGGAAATCCACTTCTCACCCATAGCCACATACTCCAGCAAAAGGAAAATAGAGATGGAAGACAATTTTGAAAAACAGGGTGACCTTTATTATACTAATTTTTCTATGAACAGTATCTAAACTATTATCAAAGTGAAAAAATAATGATTTTCTTAGAGTTTGCTTTGTTACAGAACTACCTGAAAGGTCCAGACCAGAAATGGAAAGTTGGAAGAACATTTCTGAGATGGAATAGGGAGAAAGAGAGAACAATGGAGTTTACATAAAGAGGCAAACAATCTATTGCTTGAGCTAAATTCTTACATGTATATTTTTTAATAAACGTAAGCAGAAACTATACCTGGACAGATTCCCCAAAGATATGCCGTAATATAAAGTTTTAATTTGAAACATGTTTTTTCAATAGTTTGTTTAATTTAGTTTGTTTTTGTAGGCAACACTACATTCAAATAATCAGCCTGAGGCACCTGTTAAGGTAGATTTTTATTTACTTCTTAATAAATCATTTAATTTTAATGTTGTGATTTTTCTTAAATGTACAGGTTAGATGAGGTTTTTTGCACCCCAGTATCTAAGAAATTATTCCAGAAGACATTTTAAATACTATTTTAACTATATTGAAAAATGAATGTGTTTATTGTTTCACCTAATTAGAGGTAGTTCACAGCTTGTGGCCATAACTGGGACTCGAATTTTGGACCCTAACCAATGATGTCATCAAGTGTCTGGACATGATTTGGGGGACATTTTTATCATAGTCATTGAGGAATCTGGCTTCCTCAATTGACTTTGCTTATCAGAAAGCAACTGGGAAGAATACAAATTGCAGTCATGTGCAACTGTTGTAAATGTGTTGAATTTATACTTACTGACAAAGAAATAAAGGGAGACTAAGTACAGATCTATTTCAAGCTCTCGTCAGCTAGCCATACCCTTCTGGGATTCAAACCTGGGCTACTTGCATATTAGGTAGATGTATTAACCTCTAAGCCACAGGCTTTCCTCGCTTTGTCAGCTATACCAGGGAATAGATTAAGTGTCTTTTATTAGGGCCACCTGGTCTACCCAAATATGGGATGGAGCATACTGCTTTTGCTTTCGCCTTTCAACCCCATCCAGGAGCCTTCATAGGTAGTCGCTTTTGCAACAAACTATATTTGTATTGAATTTATATTTACCAACAAAGTACTGTTGTAAATGCAAGCTGGTTTCCAAGCAATCAAACTCTGATCACTTTCCAACAAGGATTGGTAAGAAACTCAAACATTTGAGGATGGATCGTAAGTTACTTTTTCTGGAGGTTTTCCTAACTTTGGACTATCAGTAAATAAATAGCTGGAAGTCAAGAGCTGTATATACAAAGATTGCATGGCAACGTTCGCATCAAAATGGCCAACAAAAATAAATGGAACAAGAAAACTATATTTAACTTTTTAATATATGCTAAGAAACAAATTTGTGTTGCTACATTGGCAGCTGCTCGGAAGTAATTTAAATCTTTCAAAGTTTCTGAATGTTTATGAACTTACAGAGAAAATTGCAGGACAATTTCAGTAGTCTTATATTAAGTGTAATTTTATTGTGTACGGGTAAAACTTAAAAGAAATCTTCAAAAATAAGAATGAAGTGTAGGAAAGCAGTGTTTGCTTAGCTTGCGATGTGAACCAAGTTTGGTTACAAAGTTATATAGCAATCTTAAAAGTTTTTGTCTGCAAAACAATTATTCCAGAGTCTTGGGAGGTGATGGTCATTTTGGTGGAAGTGTTTTTAAATAGTTGATAGGCATCTTATTTATGATTTTTGAGTTATATAGGTGATTTTATTAGGGACATTTTAATATTTAACGTTGGAATTTTTATAGCAGGTGCTGATTTAATATTTATTGATGAACATTAATTTTATATGCCATTTAGAAACCATCTTGGTGGCCCTTTGAGATTTCTCCTGGTACTTTAGCCTTTGCTATTTTATGGCCCTTTGTTACCCAATGGCTGGTGTATTTATATCTTCAAAGAAGAAGAAGGTAAGAATAAGGTATAGATTGGGGTTATGTACACTTTATGTTTTAACATGTAGGAGCAACTTAATTATTGCCTTAAGTTTTGGGAATGAAAATAAGAAATTCTATCACAGTATTAAACATGTTTTGTATGCAAAAGCTTGGCATCTAGGTCTAGGAGAAATACACTTTTCATACACCTTAAAAGATCAATTCCAGTCAATTAGAAAGTGCTATACCAGGCACCACTTGAATTTAGCCATCTAATATAAACATCTTGAGAGGACTTAGAATAGAATAATAGAGTTGGAAGACCTAGAAAATCTTCTAGTCCAACTCCCTGCTTAGGCAGGAAACCCTATACTATTCTAGATAAATGGTTACCCAATCTCTTCTTAAAAACTTCCAGTGTTGGAGCATTTACAACTTCTGAAAACAATTTGTTCCACTTATTCATTGTTCTAACTGTCAGGAAATTCCTCCTTATTTCTAGGTTGCTTCTCTCCTTGATTAGTTTCCACCCACTGCTTCTTGTCCTTCCCTCAGGTGTTTTGGAGAATAGCTTGACTCCCTCTTTTTTGTGGCATCCCCTGAGATAGTGGAACACCGCTATCATGTCTCCCCTATTCCTTCTTTTCACCAAACTAGATATACCCAGTTCTAGCAACTGTTCTTTATATGTTTTAGCCTTCAGTCCCCTATTTTAGCCTCCAGACCTCCTTCTAAGTTCTATGTGCAAGAAGTACATGGAGAATGGGTAGTGTTTCCCAAGTTTAAGAATCTTTGAGTTTCATTACATTTTTTTTGTCTGTGTGATTCATTGGACAAATCCAGAGTATGAGGCAAGTTACAAAAGTGGAAATAAAATAGAAATGTATCTAAAATAGGTTGCCAGTTGTATATCCTATAGATATAACCTATCTGCAGATTTTATAGATTACATTGACATACATTTTCATGAATACAGATAATGGAAAGCATAATGTGTAGTTGAAGTGTTGCATTAGAACTGATCTGAAATAATTTCTAATGTATCTTCTACTACATAGGATCAACAGGATGACCACGGGCTAGATTTTCCAGGCAGGCCTAGTGTTCCTGGAGGAAAGTTGCATACAGAATCCATCACCAACACAATTCTGTAAAAGATTCTACTAATTCTTAACACAGCAATCTGCTTTCTTCAAATTTTTATTTTCTTTTCCTTTTCTTTTATTTATTCAGTAATGTTATGCCAGATCAATCAGTAAGAAAAAATTGTCAAGGGTATTCTCTTCATAAATCCTGATTAGGAGGAAGAGCATTTGTCTGAGTTGTGTTAAAAAAAACAACTTTGGGACAACAGTCCAACTTTGGGAGTAAAGTTCTGACATTTTTTATATGTGTCTGTTTTAAAAAGGCAGAATTTCAATCAATGTGTAATCCTGAATGAAACTACAACTACAGAGAGGGAAGTGTGCAGTGGGGTACCCCAAGGGCCCCAATATCTTCATAAATGATTTAAATAAGGGGATAGAAGGGGAACTCATCAGATTTGCAGATGACATCAAACTGAAGGGATAAACAGGACTTTAGAAGATAAGCTCAAGATCCAGAAAGATCTTGACAGACTAGAACACTGGGCCAGTCCAACAAAATTGAATTTGGCAAGTAAAATAAGATTTTAAACTTGGGCAAGAAAAAAAAAAGCACAGGTATAGATCAATGGTTGCCAATCAGTGGGCCTGGGGCCACTGGTGGTCCACGAGAAAATGTTGGTGGTCCACAGAGAAATGTCACCCCCCAAAGCAATCCAGGCTGCATAGGAACACAAGGCTGCACAGCTCACATGGCCTGCAGGAACACAAGGCTTGTGTCGCTTGCATTGTGAACAAGATGAAGTAGTGAGGGGAGGGGGGGAAGGGTGGAGTGGGGAAACTTGCCCCACTCAACTCACTTGGCCACTGGGCTGCTTCTTTCCAGTTCTTCTAATGCTTTTGGCTGCACGCAAGGAAAGCAGCTAAAGACTTTCTTTCTCTCCCCAAAACACCACCAGAAATGAGTCTTTGGGACCCTGCAAGGCATCCTGCTCCAAGAGGCGCCGGTGTGACAAGTCTCACAAAGACTCATTTCTGGCGGAGTTTGGGGGAAAGAAAGACTTCTGCTGCTTCTGCTTTCCTTGCATGAAGCCAAAAGTCTCTTCCCCCCCCCCCCCATGAATGGTCCTGGAGGCAACCTCTGTGATCCCCAAAAAAGAATGATCAATCAAGGGAGGCTGGAGCCTCCTCGCTGACAGACCGTAGATCTCATCTCTCTGCGGCTATGGTCCATGCTCTTTCGTTGGAGAGCCCCGATCATTACGATTAGGGGCTGAAGCTGCCTTGGAGGGGCGGCGGAGTAAGGGGAAGCCACAAGCCAGGTTGAGGGGAGCCGCATCTCCCCCCCGGTCTTGGTCTTTTTCCCCCTGAAGACGACTGCAGAAGTGGTTTAAAATGGGAGGAGGACTCAGCTGGATTAATATTTGTGTAGGAGGGAAGAAAGAGGTGGATAACATCTGAACCAGGACAATTGGGCAATACAACTAAACAAAAGTACCCCAAGCTTAAGGTAACATAGAACTTTTAAGAAAAGAAAAGTGAGCGGTGAAATTACAAAGGGACAGGAAAAAAAAAAGAAAACATTTTTGACAGCTAAATGGGGCTTTGAACCAGGAAAGGAAGAAGCCGGAACTAAAGATTTAACTAAATTGGACTAAAATATTTTGGCAATAAATAGGCATAAAATAAAGCTGGACTTAAGATTGTCAAATAAAGTTTACAAATTGGAGATTGGACTGTGCTGGAATATCGAGGTTCGAAAAACCCTAAATAAAAAAATAGGGGGAAAAGGTGAAGACTTTGTATAATGGAGAATGCCACCTTTTAACAAAAACTTGAGTTCAAACAAAAGGGAAAGCATCCTGTTTCTGAATGAACTTGTGTGGATATAATATTAAAGAAATATTGAAACAAAGTAAGAATCTTAGAAAGTGAAAGCAGAACTAGAATAAAGAAAAAAGCAAGTAAAGATTGACTGTGGGATTGATTGATGTTTTTGATATAGACCATGGGCTGGAATAATTGAGAACTGTAGAAAATTGAAAGAAGAAAGAAGGAAAGTAAAAGTGGTTGGTTTTTTGTGTGTGGACTTTAACGATCATAAAATATAAGAGTCCGTAATGATGATATCTCTTCGGAAATTAAAAATGGAACTTAAAAATATGAGAGAATTACTACAGGAAAGAGGTGAATCACTTTGCTCTGTGTTAGAAAAAATGGAAATGGCGATTGAAGAACAAGAAGAAAGCTTCAGAGGAGGAGGGGTCGACTCAAGAGAAGACATCTTAAATAGACAATTAACACAAAGAACACTACAAAGACATGGGGAAAGAAGGAAGGCTAAAAAGTTGAGATTTAAGAAGGCAATCCAAGGGAATACCTGTGAAGTCGGGAAAGACAGAAAGACCCAGCAGGAAAGGGGAAAGGAAGATATCAAGGAAGAGAGGGATATAAACTGGAATGAGGAAAGTTATGGGGAAAAGAGGGGGAGGAGAAGCAGTAAGAAACAGGTGCATGAAATAAAGAAATACGGAAATAGTAAAATGTTGAAAAGAAGTTGTTTTTTCAGAGATAATGGTTGATGAATTAAAAAGGGGATTCTGCAGGGGGTAATAAGAATATTTCTGCAATTAAAAATATTTAGGAAATAGGGTAATATAGATACTGATAAAAAATTAAGAGGGGGAAATATGCTGCAGAATTCAAATGAAAAGATGTAATTATTATTGTAACTTCTTAAAAACAATGGTTTATTGGGAATCAAGATAAAGGAATAAAGGTATATTTTAATCATTGAGGTGTCACACTCAAAGCAGTAAAGAGGGGAAACCTATACTTGTTTTTTTTTTTAGTGTTAAAATTTGTATTAATCTAGAATTTATAAAAAGAATATGTAATGAAAAGGGAATATGACAAAGAACCAACTTAATAAGTTAATATAGACTATTAAAAGCAAGGAGAGACATTGGCAACCTTTTTTATCATTATCACCATCATCATCATTATTATTATTAGGCAAACACATATTGTTTATCTTTATTTTTAAAATAAATATTAAAGGATTATATTTGAAATAATTGAAATGAAACAAAAAGATGTTTCAATTGAGATTAATGAAAGAGGCTAGAATTGATGTGTTTGTTTCTCTCCTTGCTGAAAATTTGGAATGGAAAAGGTAATAATAGAATTAAGCATGCATATATGAATGTATAATTGCTGTCATATTTGTATGTAAAGGTGATGACCCGGAAATATGTTGTCCACTAAAAAGAGATTTTTGTTTTTAATGTGAAAAACTGAATAAAATTTGTTTAAAAAAAAAAAGAATGATTGATCGGTTGGAAAACGGTGTGGGGAATTTTCCTGCAGACTTGTTTTGGGATTTTCCCTGGGTCTCTGATCTGCGGGATTTAAAATTATGAGTGGTGGTCCCTGAAGTCCAAAAAGTTGGTGACCCCGGAATAGATGACACATCGCTCAACAGCAGTAACTGTTGAAAGAAACTAGGAGTCTAGTGAACAACTTCTTGTGTCCTGCAGCAGCCAAAACAGCCAATACAGTCCTAGTCTGTATCAACAGAGGAATAGTGCTAAGATCACATGACATGTTAATATCACTGATGAGTCTGATAAAGGACTGGGATGATAATGATAACAGGTTTCCACTATTTGAAGAGCTGTCAGAGTGAAGAGAGAGTCAATCTACTCTCCAAAGCATTTGATGACAGGATAAAGAAGCAATGAATGGAAACTTATCAAGGAGAAATTGATAGTACTAAGGAGAAATTTCCTGACAGTGAGATCAATCAGTGGAATGGGTTGCCTCCAGAAGTTGTGGATGTTCCAACACTGGGAATTTTAAAAGAAAGATTGGCTAGCCGGAATAGTGTAGGTTCTCCTGATTGACTGGAGGGTTGTCCCTTTCAATTCAGTTATTCTGTGGAGTGGAATAGCAGACTTTGCCGAAGGTTTCCAGTGTAAGTAGGACAAGAGTTACAGGATTTGGCCTTACTTGTCAAACCTGAAACACAACTTTATCTCAGCTGTGAGCATTATTGTTATTGAGCAATGGAACAATATGCTTTTTTTCCTCTTTCTGAATTCTTTTTCACTGTTCATCTTACTGCCTTTCCACCCATTCAGGGCCTCCAGTAGCAGCCCATTAGGATGTCTAAAATAGGATAAAGCTTCAAAAAGATTTTTGATGTTATTGGATCAGTTACTTAGAAGTGGAAAATAACAAATCCTTATCAGCAGACCTCTGGGTGCTGTCTGGTTTTCTGTTTTTGATTCTGGCAGATTATAATCACTGACAATGTGGAATGGTTTTTCACAAGAGCACAGAATTCTTGATTTGCTATATTAGAAAAGGATCTTCTAACAGATACAGATTTGAAATTATTTAACAATCAAAGATATGCCTGGGTACTCTGAATAATGCAGAATTATCCAGTATCCATCAGTCTTGCGGGAAGACAAAAATTTAGACATATTGGTTGAGTTCAAATCATATTAATCTGAAGTTTTTTGTATATAAAATTTATCCTGTGGTTGAGACAAGGCAAAAGCTACTATAATATTCAAGGAGCATTTGTAGGTTGATTGCAAATTTAAAAGAGCAAGTTCATCTGTTCAACATAGTATCTTTCCCCATTCATATATTTACAATTAAAAATAATAGTGGAAGCTTCCCAAGTCACCATACAGGTGGTCCTAGACTTATGACTGTTTGCTTAATAACTGAAGTTATGATAGTTATTCCCTGGGCATACTTACTACCTGGTTCTGAACTCCAATGGCTGCCTCCTCTTCTGACAGTCCTGTGACCACATCAGGCCTTGGCAGCTGCTCCACATTTACAGCTGTTTGCACAGTCTCGCAGTCACATGACTGCACTTTACAATGCAACCCTGGTATTTATTTCTGGTTTTCAGCTTCATCAATTGATTCATTTAAGGACTGCTGCAGTCACTTTGCAATTGCTGTGTTCACTACCACAAAAAAATGTCATAAAATTGGGTTGGTCATGTAGGTACAACTATCATGAGTTATGACTGTAATGGGCAGGCTCTACTATGCTCATAAATCAAGAACTACCTGAAGGTATAGAAGGAAGAATATGCATGAACCTAGGAGCTTTGTTAAATATATAAGGGCTTCAGCAATAGAAATTGTGTTGCAAAGAAACCTTTTCTGTTTTAAGATTAAAATGCATAAACTGAACTTTATATATAACATTTAAATTTAAATTATTAATTCTGTGTGTATATGTTAAACTGCAGACTAGGAATAATACCAAATGTCTAGCTCTTGTTATTTACAAATAAAAGAGAAATTAAGGGGGCATTTTACATGAATTTTGAGAAATAATCCCACTGGAAGAAATACAGTATATGCCTGTGTTTTCAGTAGAAATGCATGGGTTTGCACTGAAGTTGGTAATCCTTGCCTCTTGTCTCTCTTTCAGAAAACAGAACTGAGCCTTCCATTCCTGATTTTGCTTAACTGCTTGTATGGGAAGATTTTGAAAAATACTGTAGTTATTACAGGAACTATAACCTCTTGAATGAGTAAAACACCCTTTTCTTTTTCCTTAACATTTTTTCTTTTTCTTTTTGCACTACTGAAGATTCTATACTTGAATGAGACATTTTTCTTATATTTCTAATATGATAAATACAACTGTCCTGCTAAGCAGTTATATGAACTACAATTATTCTTGATGAACAGTTTGTATAATGTCTTAGTTTTCAGTTCCTACTGGGGGGTAAATAAGTCTTTAGAAAAGAGAAGAAAAATCTTTGAAAGCATGTATCCCCAGTCCTTAAATTCCATGGTACTTTAACTGTACGTTTTGTTTTATGCCAGCCTTTTGGTTAGAAATGCAATATATGGGGTAAACAGTACATCCCCAAAGGCCAAAATAAACAGGATTATTACAGTTGCATTTAAGAGTAATGAGGAGTTGCTACTATATGTGATAACGTTGTAATAAATACAATTGAGGCTGTTGATTTTGCTTCCACAGATGCCACCAAAATTATATCTTTAAAAGCCACAAAACTATGCATAGCCATACATTTCAATGTAATAATACTCAACTGAGTCTCAAATAGCATGATCGATTCAAAGTAAAGTAGTTCATTGGAGAGAATGCTTAATAAAGAATGAAAACAATCCTGAAGATACTAAGTTCAGTTCAACTTCAGGACAAGTAATACAAGTTATGAACGTATCTATTGAATAGAGGCAAGTACTGTCTTTATTTTTATTTTTTTTTTAAAAGTACAATTTAATTAAGTCACAGCTTTTGCATATTAAAAATTTGCTCGGAGATGCTGTTCTGAATTTGTAAAGAAATACTTTGTAAACAGATGCCAGTGCAAAAAGAATGCCAGTGGAAAAAGGATGTTAACAGCAGTATCTTTTCTAAAGCTATGCAACCAACACTGCTGTTAAGTTACTCCCATCAATTAATTAGGACTGGGAAATTCCTTGTACTGTATTCAACACTGGAAGAAATGTATCAAAATGAATAAGACTATACTTGCAGGCAGGCTCACTTTATATTTTTTTAAAAAATGTCTTAAGAGCTTATATGACTGCTTTCAACATCAGAATGGAAGCTTTCAGCCATCATGGCCACAGGGCACTTCCCACCCTTGCCATTTACGATGCCTACAAGGGGGATGCAAGCAAATCCTGACGTGACCCAGGAACCCTAAATTTTGTGCCATATTATTCAAAAGCTAGTTGTTTTGTTCTCACGACTGAATGTTCATCAGGGTTAAAAAACATCCCCTGCAGTTTGCACTCTTTGTTGCCCTTTGCACTCATTTCTCTCAAACTTATAAAACGGTAAATCTTTCAGCGGTAGTGTTTCAGTAGTTGCAGATTTAGCAAGTCTGAGTGTCATCTTGATGAAAGGTAAATGCTTTAAGCCAGATAGCTCTTCATGCAGGTGTATCTGCAGAATATGCAGAAAATTCAAGGTGGCAGCAACAGTGCAAATGTGATTGAAGTTCTGCTCACATTTTATATAAAATTAGGCAGAATTTGGGTCACATCATTGGCCATTCTTTTAACCACCATTCTTTTAGTCCTGCTTTCCTAAAATAGTTTATAAATTCACTCACTGTGTATAGATATGAATATTATATGAAGACACAGCTGACTGTTTCTGTAACGATTGTGTCTTGCTGAATTCAGAACATCCTTTTACTGTAACAGGTAAGCAAAATGTTTAACTGTTACAGTAAGCTTTCACTGTAAGTGTTTAACTTTTCCTTTGTTTTAATCTTTGCTTTCATGGTCCATCCCCATCCCCCCCCCATTGCTTTAAGATAATTTTTATGTTCTCATTTTACATTTCTGCCTATTGATCCTATCTATATTACTATATAACAGCTGGTAGTTTTCTAAATACAATTAGATAGAAGACAGAAAACAAGGCTATTTTTTGTTGTTGATATGATCTTCAGCTGTTTTAAAATGCAGCTTAAAGTGATTGCCTCCTGGTTAGGGTAAAAAAGAAAATGGAACTAAAACTGATATATTTCCAGATAATTATCTTCTACACTGTAATTGATGACACTAATAGGAAAACATTCTGGTCTAATGTAAGGTCTCAAAGTTTGAAAATCAACTTTATATCTATAATGTACAAATACTGTAATTGCAGAAGTTAAACACTTCTATATGATATAGAACATGTTTTTACAGTTTTAAATTACTTTAATCTATTGTAAAATAACATTTCGAATAAAGGAATGATCGGAGTATATTACCCTAACATTTGTTAATGGTCTTATATATTGTAAGAGTCAGTTTTGGTGTATGATTAAAGCACAGATACTTATGGATTGAGTTCTAATCCTACCTTAGGCACGAAGCAAGCTGGGTTACACTGATACAATCTCTCTCAGCTCTAGCAACGGCAAACATTTCCAAAGCATTTTGCCAAGAAAAATGTAGTAGCTTGTCCAGTTAATTGATGGGGTAAAATATTGAAAAAAGCACACAAACACCCACAAAATAATTGTATACCAGTTGGAAACTTTCAGGGAAATGCCAGGATTCCCAGATTAATGGTGAACTCTGATATTAGTTTTACATAAATGTAAGAGTTTAAGTGGAGACCATATCAAGTTAAATCTCAACCATCAACTTACAATAAAAAAGCATTGCAGAGTTTTGGTGTAAACCAAGAAAGGAGGGGGGGGAAGTATTTGAAAATGGTAGAAACAAAAGGTCTGTCTCTTCCAAAAATTGTTAATTTAATAGAAGCATTTATGTTTGGAAAAATCAGTAAATATTTCAACGGGATCTGGATTCCATTTTTAATTCATATATAGTAGCAATTGACAAAGTTGATACATTCTAAGCATAGTCAAATTAATGGACATGTGCCTTAAGGGAGAGATTCATCAGATTTCTTAGGTGCCCATTAATTAACATTAGAAGTGAAAAATAAGTGATTAGGAAATAACATGGATAGATTATTGGTTTTCTAATAAAGACTCATTTTAAAATTGTATTATATAATACTTTTTATTATTAAGATTTTCTCTGATCTTTTTTAGCAGTGAAAGATAACAAATTGCCAATATTTTCTAAGTGTCCGTAATATAATTGTTCTGTTTATAGGATAATCAGATATAATTATCATACATAATTTATTGCCAGGAATCTACCTTGATACAATAGGTAGAGAAAAAGAGTAAATATGCTTTTAGTTACTTGAGAATATTGAAGAGATATCCATTAAATTTCAGATGTGCAACCAGATCAATTAAAAATACAGACTGAAACTCTGTTCCAAGTTTATCCTGTAGTACTAAAAGAATATTGCTACCAAACAGTTGAAGAACTCCAGCAGTCATTCCTAAAGTCCTCCTAATATAAACTCTGTTATTAAACTCCTTTCTCCTATTAAACTCCTCTATTAGGAGACATGGAAGAAAACGGAGAAATATTTCAATGTGGAGCTTATTTAAATAAATAATTATTTATAACATTAATATAATCTAAAACAAGTAATCTTCAGTGCTTAATTCAAAAGACAATTAGAAACTATGCACTACAAAATATATACACATTTTTTTTATTTTCAAAGCTTTAAATATATAGAAATTGAAATAACCCACTATCTTTTCACTGAATTGCAGTTACACTACATTGAATAAGCATGCATGATGATTTTTTCTCCAGACTGAAATGTAAAACATTCTCATTTTTAATATTTAAAATAGCAATATATCAAAAACAGAGCAATAATTGAACTTTTCTTGCTTTGCTTTTGCCATAGTTTTCATAGATAAACTAGAAATGAAAACATTGACAAAATTAGAAACCGCCGGGAATACTGATAGTTTAAACAGCAGGATAACTAACACATAAATTATACCAATACCTGAAAACAGACTAACTTCTATTTGGGCTGCACTGAAAATACAGAAGTACAGCTTCAAATTGACCTAAAATCAGTTTCAAATAGATTCTAATATTCAGGCATCATGTTATAACTATAGGCATAATGATAATTAAATTGTATGCAACTTTCCCTGTTAAAGCTGATAGCAAAGACAGTCATTTCCCCATATTTGGAAATACCCATAGCAGCAGAAAAGTAATTTTTGTTGAGTAGGAAAGTATCATACCATAATTATATTATGTAATACAATTAATATAAAGTGCAGTATTCAGAGTAAAAATTTAGGTCAGAAGCTATTTCCTGTATGAATATAGTTCAATATAGTTTTTACAGAAAAATATTGAGTTAAAAGCAAATCATTTTTTTAAAAATGAAATTGTTACAAAATAGGTGTTAGGAAGTTTTGTCATGATAAATATGAAATCCTCTTCACAACTCTTCTTCTTTGATCCTACAGACTAAATCCAGACACTGTTAGTTGCTGAGCATTATTCCTGGCTTCAAAATAGGATGTATCTGTTTCATCATTTGGTTGAGGTATAAAGGGCATAGTCTGATTGTGCAGATTATCCCAATCCATACCATGTAAGAGGGGATGAAGCTTCAGCTCTAGAATAAACAATTAAAGCATGTGTTAGATTTAATTATGAGTCTTTCTCATTCTAACTTATGCTGGATGGGGAATAGTGAAAACCGAGGTCTAAATATCTTTAACTTGCCAATATTGACAGTTTTAATTATACTGGATGATTCTGGATGTTTCCAGAATTCAGTCTGGATTAATTACCTGGGCTTAATCTCTCAACTGTCTCCTGACTAAGTTTAAATAAAATACAACTGATAATAATGTTTGCCAATTTTGTCCTGTATTTAGTTTTGAAATGATGCCTTAACAAACATAATCTCTTGCCAAATGCTTATGTTATCCCTTTTATTAACTTGCAAATTCCAGGAAGCAATTCTGTAATTTCTGAATTCTACATTTATAATGGCAAGAGAAGAATCTCATGTGATATTCTGAACTCAAGGAATACGACTGTTGTCCTTGAAAGATTTTGTTTTGTAAAGTATTACACAGAATAGATTTGTGATCATTTGTATCACTAGATTTTAAAGACAGATGGTTTGGCTCTTTCCTCAGTCAGTTTTTTCTTCCAAACTCAGTGGCTTATGAAAAGTTCTATAGCCACTGTGCCTCATACAGCCTGAAACTATGAATATTAAATTATAATCCTCTAAATTACTAGATTAATAAGAGATAACTAACCCTTGAGTCCAGCTCGCTTAGCACTATCAACAGTTAAAAGAATATCAATGGCATTCTGAGAATTATCTGACAGCTTTTCTTCACCTTCAGGCCATGGGATATCTGGAAAGACATGCACATACAAATAAGTATCACAATATTTACACTAAACAAGGATTCTTTGGATTTGGTTTTGATGGAAGTGATAATTACCCCTTTTAAGAATATTCTGGAATACTTGCTGTGGTGTTTCATCATTGAATGGTGGAATTCCAGTTAAAAACTCAAACAAGCAAACCCCAAGGGCCCACCAGTCTACAGCAGCACCTGAGATAAAAGCAGTTCAAAGAAATTAACACTGATTCCAGGAGATGCATTAAATCAAGTCGTATTTACAGAAAGAATTCTGGGAAGATAATGTGTAACAGCTAAACATTCTAGAGAAACAGCAATTTTCTTTTATGCATTTCTTTCATCACTGTATTATTATAGTAATATTTATCTAAATGCTTCATGACAAAGGCATATTGATGCAAGCCATGTGACTTCCAGAGGCCAATTGCAGAACAGAAAACTAAGCCACACATGCTGAATTTCTCAGGGTTTAAAGGGAAACCAATCACATAGCAAAGATTAAACACAGAACTGTGTAAGAAAGATTTCAGTTTGCTTTTTAAAATCATCTCACTGTTTTAGAGAGCCATGAATTCTTTAAAAACTGTATACATAAAATAGTTTCCAGTGAGAAGCTTGGATTCAGTAACAAGCTCTCTTGTATTTAGGACTATATCTAGTTAATGTCTTTACCCTGATAGTTTTCAGGTCACGAAATTCAGCGTTGCAATCAGAAGCAAAAGCAAGCAAAGCTGCTGAGGCACCAAAGCCATGATTAAGCAACATGCATCTTCCAGCTGCTATGCTACCAAAGCCCTAGACAGCTCATTTTGTTGGAAGTGAAAAATGCATTTGCTGTGCCAACTTATATGTAGTTCACATACAGATATATCCCCTTGGTGTAATAGTTCAGATAAATTGGATGTGCTGGCCAATCACAGCTAAAAACCTTTTGTAGGTTCAAGAGTCATCTCAAGGATCAAATCAATAAATATGAAATCATTTCATTCAATCAGTGTAACAGTAATTTCAAGTGCTCACATGATCAAGAAATATGTCTGAACCATCTCAACCATATTTACTTAGAAATCCCCCTCAAAAAGAACAAAAAGTCACCTAAATATTGAAAGCCTAGCACTATAGTTCAATTTAGTGTTCAATTTTAAATGAAAATGTAGTCAGTAATCAGTGAGGCATGTTTAAGAACTTGAATATTCCCCTGCATTAAAATGTCAATGTGTAATTGTTCTCATGCATTGACATTCCATACAAGAAAACCTATAGTTTATGTCTTCTGTAAGCAGTAGTGTCCAATTTCCCTAGGCAAACATACAGACTTTCCTAAAAGATGTAGTCAAAATCCACAAAATCCAAAATTTCTACTGCAATTTAACCTTTGGGTGATAAAACCATACACTGCAATAGCAAACTAATAAAATAAATTTTCACAATTGTCTTCCTCTTCTCCTTCATAAATCATTGAATAAAATAACCTTTGGAATACAAGTGAAAGTGTTTCTATTTATCTTGTAACACAGATATTTAAAGAAGAAAGGAAAGTTGCATTTGTAAAAAAAGCCCACCCTGGAATGAAGGAATGTGACTATTTCCTTATTAGAGATGTTAGTTTTTGTTGAACTAAACTAACAAAATGATCATTTTGGAACTATAAACTGTGTTAACTCATTGTATAGGTCTTTCAATACTTGTCTTGAACAATATGAACTTTGTTTTGCGAAGTGCTATAAAAAACTTACCAGTGGTGTAAATTCCTGTATGTAAAAAAAATCAAGTAAATATTTTGGTACATTTACCAGTTGGTAAATTATTATATTATTACATTGAATTTACTTATTAAATGCTGATAATGTTTAAGTTGTCCAACAATTACCAGTTTTCCAAAGAAAAATATTCTCCTTAGTTTTTGGCTTTTTATATAAGCCAGAGGAACACCTGGTCTATTTATTCACACATAAGGGGGAATTGTAAATTTCTGAGAATCAAATGAAAATACTTTTGGGTCACTTCAAGCTACAACTGCTGGATTATATGTTTGAATGTAACATTCCCCTCAATATACCTATCAGGTATTAGATGAGACTACATCAATTTCTCTGACATTTGTTTTACATGTATGAAAGATATTTTTACACATGAAAATGTGAATTCTATATTTATTATGAATTCTGAAGTGCTCCAAATTTAGGAACATCTAGACAATAGATTAAAATTTGAAACCATGGTTTGATTCTTATTTGAACCATCTTCATTCAGATAGCAACAGATTAATTTCAAATACTTCTATAAAAACTGTTAAAAGGTATTAAAAAAACCTTTCCCAATAAAATAGATCATTGTTCAAAACGCAACATCAATGATTCATAATTTTTTAAAACTGTTTTGTTTATGGAATGAACCACAATTAATTCTGTACATATCACCATGTAGAACTGTTAATAAATCGTAATAGTTGACTTCATTGCTAGGTGTACTCTGTGAACCTGATTCAGAAGGATTAAGCTACTTCGGCACTATAATGAGCAGTCCTTGATTTACAACACAATTGGATGGGAACACCTGAAACTCAGCGATGTGGCCTTAAGCAAGTCATGTATGGTTTTACAACTTTTTTTATGTAGTTAACTGCAATTAACCAATTAACTGCAGTTAAGTGAAACCAGCTTCTCCCATTAACTTATAGCTTGGCAGCAGACCCCTGGGAAGGTCACAAATGACAACCATGTGATCCTGGATGCTATAAGTCGTAAATATATGCCAGTTTCCAAGCATTCAAATTTCCACATGACCAGAGGGACACTGATGGTTGTAAGTACAAGGCATCATTTTTTTCAGTGCCATCAAAACTTTGAATGGTCCTAAGTCAAGTACAAACAGTCCACAATTTACAACCATTCATTTAACAACTATGATATTTGGATTTACTTAGCAGCCATGTGATCCACTTCAACTGCAGGGATTATCAACAATTTTCTAAAATCAAGTGCAACTCACAACTTGCTTAACAATAAAAATTCTGGTCCCAGTTGTGGTTGTAAGTTGAGGACAATCTATATTATCCAACTTTTTGAAACATGGGCCTTGAGCACCACCCTTAGAATCAGGCATGATTGGACAGAGGAATCATTTCCCTTTACCTATATACTAAATTGAAATGAATTCAAATGATATTCTGGATTGAAGGAAATATTTTTAAGATTAAATCTTGGGTTTCATTAGGTTGGTAATTAAGGATTTTTAAAAGTCAGAATCTTATCATAAAACTGAAAAATGTAGGTGATGAAAACATGTAATTATCCATAACCAGTGAAAACTAGTTTGCTTACCATGAGTCTTTGCAATGAGAAGCTCAGGTGCTAAATAGTCTGGGGTTCCTAAAATGTGTTCTCTGTCTACTGGAGCAGCCCCTCTTCGCACACTTTTTGGGGTCCTATAGGGTGTACCAACATTTCCCTGAGGAGTCTAATGCAAAAAATAAATATTGCATCAGATATAAAGTAAGACACTCAGAATGTATTCATTTTATTCCTTGATTTAAATGATTAGTGGCTGAAAAAAGAACCTAGTTATTTTACCTGCAATGAAACATCTTATTCAATTCCAAAATACTCAGTATTATCTCAAATTAAACAGGTTTTCTTGTATGTCTCTTTTAATAAGTAAGGGGTTATAATTTATTATTACTTTTAATTATCCAAAGGATGTAATTGAAAAAAGATGGGCAGATATTTAGTTCTTTGGGGAAAGACTGGAGATTTTAAAAAATACAAATTAAATGTCTTAAAAATAATTATTATGAACCAGATTGTTTTGGCTTAATTTTTGCTGCATAATTCTGGAGTTTTCATGGATTGGACCAAAGTGATAAGGGATCCATGAACTGCTTATGCTATTGTATAAGTTTCATTATAAAGAGTAAATGGTAACTGGCCATGAAATCCTTAATGTCCTTGTGAGAAGTTCCCATCTGAAAAGCACAAAAGATTTTGAGCTTTGAGCTGTACATTCATCATAAAACTAAAACTAGCCTATATTTACCTATTACTCAGGTTTCTAATTCATTAATTCTCAGTGGATTAGTAAAATCTCAATTCAATATTAAGGCTAAAACATAGATATTAAACAAAAGAAATATTGCAGGGTTTTCTCAAAGCCTAAATCAAGCACCCCCCAATCTTTCTCCATTTTAGCACTTCGACCATCAGATTTTTTTAAGCCTATACAGCTATGAACTGTACAAAATGGGGATTCTGGGAATTATAATCCCAGCACAGCTGAAGGGCCCAGATTGGAGAAGGCTGATAGAAATGATGTGTTTAATTTTTCACTTTATTTTGCAATGTGTTTTAATAATGCCCTTTGGACAAATTTCTATACGCAATTCATGTAAGTTCATGAAAAAATTGCTTCTATTTGCTACCTTACATCCAGGTAAAAACTGTCAACAAGGCTTAACCTACACTTCTTATATGCTAATACTTTGTCTGTTCTTTGTAGTCTCAAGTGGCATTGAAGAAATTTGAATACATTGAATTACAGTTCCAATAAAAACAAGATTTAAGTCATGACTAATTACTGACATCAAAAAGAATTATTTAAGTGTACAGAAATTTTCTCCCTAGATTTATTGAAGTTACATTCTCTAAAAATGGGTGTGGTGCCAATGTACAAACCATTTTCAAACTAACGTTTGTGACTTTTTAAACAACTTAAATATGAAAAAGCCTAAAAGTATGTATTTGTGCTTCAGAAGTTCTATAATAATTTTTGATAAAATTTTATCTAAAAAGAAGAATCCTATCACATGGTACATTTCACTGAGAAGAGGTACTTTCAGACCTGCAAGACCTATTAATACAGCCTTACGATACAGTAGATTTAGTCCATCTAGTCTGGTTTACCAGGGAAGGCCAAGAGAAAGAGACCTTGAAGATCCAAGAAACATGGATCTAATGTTGAGTTACCCATCGTGACCACCTTTGCAAATTTCATTAAACTCTTATCAATAGAGGGATTTTTGCCATATATACCAGTGGGATCTAAGGCAGTTCTTTAGTGCATATAGAAATGTCCTACAATGCTATACTGTATACTCAATTTGTTCGTTCAGTACCTACCTGATATATCCTATAGGGTGTTCCTTTTTGTGCAGGTGTAATGGTCATTGGATAAGAACCACTGCAGGCAGAGATATTCATTCCTTCAACAGACATCATACTGATTTTTGAAGGCTCAGTCATATTAGAGATATTGATAGAACTATTGTAACTTCGGAAGGCAACAATATTTTTTTTAAGTGCATTCAGCATCTCCATTGGTGAAGAGTGAACACCAGTGTGCTTTTCTGTAATACGTTTCAAACTCTTATCTTGATTATGATCCATGGATTTGCTCTCCTGGATAGGGAGCATTGGTTCATCTCTGGTTTCCCATTTGGAGCAGCAATGTAATGTTAACATAGTTTTTGACTTTGATTCCTCAAGGGGGACATCTTTAATGCTCCCATTTAAATCAAATGAGGGTTTTTCTAAATGACTCTCTGTAGCAGAGATCTCTGGAAGGGATAAATCAGAGTCTATACTCATGCTTACTAAAGGCTTTTCATCATCAATGCTTACAAAACTGAAGTTTGTGAGTTTCCCATCCTTTTCATAATCTGCATCTAGTTCATTCATCAGATTTTTAGCTATTAAAGGGGTCTCTGATTTGTTCCCTTTATTTTCTTCCGAACAATTTGAATCTCTTGTTTGACTTTCCTTTGGGCAGCTCTCTTGCATGCACCCTTCAAGTTTTAAGCAACAGATTTCAGCTGTCAAACTTGTGCTTTGCTTTTCTGGGATCTCAGTAATTTTACAACCACGCTTATATTCGCTATTGTTTTTTTTCACAAGGATACGTTCTTGAGAAGGGCTGGTATCAACTAATTCAAAGCATCTTTTGATACCAGTCTTCTGCAACATTGGTCTCTCCTTCTGTTCTTTCTTGAGATTATCCAAGCCCAGATGGGAAAAGTGACAGTTAGGCTTTGCTACCTCCTTGGATTGAGCAGAGTTGTTTGTACAAAGTTTTTCTTCCCATTCTTTGTACTCTGAAAGACATTTTCTGACTAGGTCTTTCACATCACAAATTCTTACAGAAATATCTGATGAGTCAAAATATTCACTCCTTCCATTATGCCTGTCTGCAGAGTCATTACTACTAATAGGAGAGATAGCAGTTTCCAGCAACTTTTGCTTTAAGACTTTACTGTTGTTGACAAGTGGCATATCTGTGGCCTCATGTATCTCCATTTCATTCATTTGATCTGCTGCAGGGCAGAGATTGTCTTCATCCTGAAAAGCAAGTAGTTTCAAATTAATTAGAAAAACTTTACTTCAATCCAACTCAAAGTAATTACACACATAGAACCACTAAAATTAAAATAAATTAGAATGAAAGGAAGGATGCATAAATAATATATAAATCTAAAAAAGTATAGTTTAGCATCTTAACTGAAAGAGACAAGTCTTTGTTTTTGAGGAACAGATCGATGTACATTCTAGATTCTGAACAGAATAAATAGTCTGTCTGCCATGTTTCAGATGGAAAGGGCCTCTAATTCTGATTGAAACTGAATGGAAAGAGAGAAGGTCCCTAATCACAGCTGCTTCCTAGTTTAATTTCATGTCCAATCACAAAACTATCTCCATGGTGGCTGATATAAGATGCTTATTACTGTTAACTCAAAATACTGAATTAAAAATAAAATGGCATATTAGTAAACGTATTACAGATAACAGATAATCAGAGTTGGGATCTTATAGCTCATCTAGTCCAACCCCCGTCCAAGCAGGAGACCCTACACCATTTCTGAAAAATGGCAGTCCAATCTCTTCTTGAAGGTCTCAAGTGATGGCGCTCCCACAACTTCCGAGGGCAAGCTGTTCCATTGGTTGATTGTTCTCACTGTCAGAAAGGTTCTCCTTATTTCCAGGTTAAATCACTCCTTGTTCAGTTTCCATCCATTAATTATTCCTTGTCTGGCCTTCGAATGCCTTGGAAAATAGCTTGACCCCCTCCTCTCTGTGACAGCCCCTCAAATATTGGAAGACTGCTACCATGTCTCCTCTGGTCCTTCTCACTAGACTAGCCAAGCTCAGTTCCTGTAACTGTTCTACATATGTTTTAGTCTCCATTCTCCTAATCATCCTGGTTTCTCTTCTCTGTGCTTTTTCTAGAGTCTCAACATCTTTTTATAATGTGGTGAACAAAACTAGATGCAGTACTCTAGGTGTGGTCTTACTAAGGCTTTATAGAGTGGTATTAGTAGTTCCCTTGATCTTGATTGTATCACTCTGTTAATACATCTTAGGATTGCATTAACTTTTTTGGTGGCTGCTGCACACTGCTGGCTCACATTTAGCTGGTTGTCCACTAAGACTCCAAGATCCCTCTCACAGTTACTGCTATTGAGCCTGGTTTCACCCAGTCTACATATGTACTTTTGGTTTTTCTTGCCCAAGTGTAGGACTTTACTTTTCCCAACACTGAATTTCATTTTGTTAGATATGGCCCAGTGTTCTAGTCTGTCAAGATCCATATGGATCTTGAGCCTATCTTCTTGGGCGTTAGCTATTCCTGCTAGCTTAGTATCATGTGAAAATTTGGTAAATTCCTCTTCTAATCTCTCATCTAAGTCATTAATGAAGATATTGAAGAGTACTGGGCCTGACAGAACCTTGTGGCACCCCACTGCTTACATTCCTCCATGTAGACTTAGACCCATTAAGGACTACTCATTGAGTACAGTTTATTAGCCAGTTGCAAGTCCATCTAATGGTAGTGCTATCTATTCCACTTTTTTCTAGCTTACTAAGAAGTAGGCTGTGCTCTACTTTGTCGAATGCCTTGCTGAAATCTAAATAAATTATGTCTACAGTATTTAGCTGGTCTACTAATTTACCGTATTTTCTGGACTATCGAGCGCATCGGAATATAAGCTGCACCCACTAAATTTTAAAAGAAAAAAATATTTTTACATATATTAGCCGCACCAGACTATAAGCCGCAGATATATACATTGTGAAATGAGATATTTAGACAGAAAGAGAAAAATGCTCTTCGCATGCGGCCAGACGTCTCCAACGTCTCACCATTGATTCATTAACACCAAGCTTACATGCAACAGCTCTATTTCCTTCCTGGATAGATAGATTGATTGCTTTCAACTTAAAAGCTGCATCATATGCTTTTCTTCGTGTACTTTCCATGATGAGGATGCGAAAAATATTTTGTGTTCGTGCGTGTCGTGCTGATTGCGTCGAGCGCGCCAAAAACTATTGGTAGCGTCTTCTTCTTTGTATTGACCTCTTGCGTCTGTCACGTTTTTGCGCCCCCGATGGCAGTTAGCGAAGAAAAATATATAGATAAGCTGCATTGTTGTACAAGCTGCAGGGCTCAAAGCGTGGGAAAAAAGTAGCAGCTTATAGTCCAGAAAATACGGTAGTCACTATGTTGACGAATGAAATGACTGTTTTGGCATGATCTGTTTTTAACAAACCCATGCTGACTGCTAGTTATTACTTTACTTGTTTCTAGATGTTGGCAGATCTGTTTTTTAATTATATTTTCTAGTATCTTCCCGGGTATTGATGTTAGGCTGATTGGTCTATAGTTTCCTGGGTCTGTTTTTTTTTTTTACTTTTGTGAAAATGGGAACCACATCAGCTCTTTTCCAGTCCTCTGGTAGTTCCCTGGTGCTCCAGGATTTCTGAAAGATAGGGTGCAGTGGTTCTGAGATGACCTCTGCCAGCTCTTTTAAAACTCTGGGATGTAATCCATCAGGCTCCCGGTGATTTGTGTTCATCAAGATCAGACAGGTGTTCTCTTGCGATTTTTTTTTTGCTTATTTTAACTTTTATTTCTGGTCTGTCTTTTACAGTTATGTTTTTGGTGGGTTGAGCCTATTACTGAAAAGCCTACTACTTTGAATCTTATTTAGTAATACACTTTTTGTTCCCTTCTCAAGAAATACTGTATGTGGTAAGATCAAGAAAAATATTATACTTGTTTTTAAATTCATATTCTACTTAGAGGACCTTGCTTTGAGTCCACATTTAGATATAGAAACTCATGGGTTACCAAGGGACAGTCTCTTACATGCCATCCAAATCATACAAACCAGTATTTATTTGCATATTAAGTTATGAAATGTATAATAAAGTGTCTTAATTTACTGTCTTCAAAGGAATAAAACTGAAGACTAGAATATTACTCTATGAATGACATTCTGAGCTCTGGGAAAAAGATAAATATAAATCTAACAAATAAACCACTGAACTTGAAGACAGAACCACCATACAATCCAGATACTATTTGAAAGTAGAACATGTTTTCCTAACTTTGGGGGAGCTTCTGTTTCTACAGGCATATTCTCTGCTAACTAATGTAGGAATGGAATGTGTTGAGGGGACAAAACAGTCAGAAGAAGGCCATGTGAACCCAAAATTGCTATCAATTATTTGAACCAACTTTTAGAAAATGTGTATTCCTATCCTTTGTAACAGGGTTGGACAGAACAACCTTCCAAAAATATTTAGAGAACAAAATAACTAATAATTCTATCTCTTCATCAAAATATGCTATCCATTTCTTGCAAGGTTATCCTATTTGGAAAAACAATTTTTAAAACCATTTGAAATGTCCAGTACCAACAGAGAATAATTCAAGTTAAGAAAAAGCAAATTCTTAGAAAAAAAGTAGTCCTAACCTGGATGTCTTTTTCCCACCTGGGGCTGCTGCAGCACTCTGATTCCATACTAGACAGCTGGGTCCGGGAATGGCTACTGGCACTAGATGTTCCATACCTTCTTCTGGACTGAAGCAGAGTTGGTGTTAAACTTCTTATAGGCATTCCAGGTGTAACAGCTGAAGAATCAATGCCTTCAAAAGAAATAGGTCATTTTTGTCTGTTTAATAAAACAACGTAGTAATGTAAATGCATTTCTTTTAAATAAATTAGACATTTCTCTCCTGCCTTCAAAATACTTTCTAGTATAATTTATACTTTAATTATTTTATTTAGAATTTGTTCAATTAAAATGATTTTCTGGAAGGTTAGAAAAGGTACTAAAAGTATAAAAGTAAAAAAAAACACTGATATAAATCTACATTCATATAGAAAGTTATAATTATACAAATAATTATACATCTCATAAACCACACCAATATGAATTTCTGACTTAAATTGTCATGGATTTATTCTGAAGGATCACAACACTAAGAGCCAAGTTTATTGCAATAGTTGGATATCTGCTTTATAAAAAAGATGGGCAGTGGAACAATGGAAAAACCAAAACAAATGTATTGAGGGTGAGGGCTGCAAGGCAAGAAATCCTAGGGAATCTGATTTGCCTGGCCACTTTGAGGGAGCTATGTAGCAGGGTGAGCTGAAGAAGTTTCTTGCTAAAGGTGATAGAACGTTAAGCTCATCAGGTGACAGCGGATGGAAGGTGGAGTTTCTTTATGTTGCAATTTTATAGTAAAGGTTGCCATAGGGCTCTATTATGAGGCTTCTTTGGCTTAGATAGGATTACAAGAGGCTTTGTTTCGGGGGAGAGAGAGGCAATTTTGGACTGATGGGATTAGACAAAGTTATGAGTAGGCTTTTGATCTTTGTCATAGGGAAAAGGCAATTGTTGGGAGAAGGTGCAGTCTCCATTTTGCTTATTAAGACTTATTTTCTCCATTGCAATAGCCATAAAGTAGGATAGAATCATTCAGGAATTGCTCAGAATTTAAATGCCATCAAGATGAACTGTTAGGTATAACATAGGTCACCTAACGTAGTTTGGGTAAGATAATATATATAAACTATCATTGTTAGTTTAAGTGTGTGTCACTTTAAAACTGTAAAGCATGTAATTTGGGTGTGGTGTGAAACCACCATAAGAGGGAGCAAGACAACCTGATTGATTGCTGACGATTCCCTGACGGTTTGCTGGCAATTACTGACAATTACTGGATTGGATTACATTGATGGTTTGTTAGCTGCGTTTTTCCCCTACTGAAGAGTTGCTGAAGGAAGAGAGGAGTTTTTTGAGTTATTCATATCTCTCTACTGCGAGGAGATATATCACCGGACTGATATTTGTAAGTGTACTGACCTCTCTTTATCGACACTGGAATTTGCAACTGAATAATCCCTGGACGGACTGAACTAAGTGAATGATATATGGACTGTTTTGACTGTGCTTTAACTCTTGCTGGAATAAAACTATTTAATAGGCACTGTGTATCTGGTTTACTGAGTGTAAGCTACAAAAACACTTATCTCACATATTTTGCCTGCCTGCCTGCCTGCCCTGCAGATCTTGCTAGGGTGTATCCCTAACATGAACAATGGATTTGTCTATTTGGGATAGAATTCCAATAATGGGGCAGGGCACCACTTCAGTGGCCCTTTCCATACAAACTGATCTCTTTAAAAGGATAGGATTACCACTGGTTTGAAAGAGGGGCCACCTACATTAAGATTGAACAATCCGCTTTTAACAGAGGAATACAATACCACCTAATTTCTATTTACAACACTGTCCTTTCAGCAGTTCCAAGAAGGATCCATACCCACTTGCACTATTGAGGGCACAGATAAACTTCCAAGTGGCCTCAAGGACTCTCAGAATTAGCGGTAATGACCAGATAACTGTAAGATTATAAATCCTTCCATCCTCCACCATTCAGTCACAGCTGAAGAAGCTTCTTGGGTGAGAAGTGAAACATCTTCAAGGAAAAACAAAGCTTTTGAAAAAGCACCTTTGGAACAACCATGACGATGACTGAGAATCTCCATAGATGATAGGATCAAATCCTTCCATTTAGATACTTACATGCTCTCAGGAGCTTACTTGATGCCATAGAGTAATCTTTGCAACTTATGGATAGAGGAGAAATAAATTCTCGAGGCAGCTGTGGAATATCTGCAGAAACAGGGCTTGGACTCTGCATAGGCCCTTTCCCTCCAACTGGAGTATACTGTCAAAATAAATATATATTTTTCATTAGATAGATGTATCAAAATTTATCACAGGTATAGCAATTTATAATTTCTGAACTTAAACATATGCTTGGGTATCTGAATTTTTGTGAGATAGACACAGATACATAAGCTTTCTCCCAAAATAAAGCCCTACAGATCAGTTAACACTATAACAATCAGAGTTCTACTGACATGCTGCTGAATGCTAGATGCGTGAATGACAAGCTTTAAAAAGTTTCTTTCAATGCACAGCCAAAATGCTGGGGTGTATTAATTGTTCAAATGGCTAAAATCCACCTCATGTAATTTAGTAGAAATTCTTTGTATTCTCCCACTTTCTCTCCCACTCATTGCTATTTCATGGGTACTTAGTCAAATTTTTTTTAGACTTAAGTATTTTATTATGTAATCTCCAACTTTATATCAGCAGTGTGATCTTAATTGTTGTAAGAAGATAGGTATGTTAGCTGACAGTTTTATGTTTATAATTTTTAATATTGTGTACTCATTATGTTGTAAACAATACTGTATAAATACATTATTTTGAACACTTACAAAACCAAAGGAGCTGATAAGAGATAATACTTGTCCAGGAGTTCGAGAATAGTCTTGCATAGGTTTGGACATTGATGGTGTAGTGAGTATATCTATCATATTTATTTCTGAAAAAAATATGATCATTAGGTTCTATTTGGTACTTATAAACATGTAATCAAAGAAATAACATTTTAATTAGCATGTAAACTTACACTACATGTTATAAAAGTATTTGGCAACAACTCTGATATATATACAGATTCATAAACACATCAAGATGTGTAGGGCTTACCTCTGTTCAAAGTAACTCTGGACAGTCCAAAGTCTGTCAATTTAATGTGACCCTCATTAGATATCAGCATGTTATCTGGTTTTAAATCTCTAATAATAAAAAAAAATATTGATTTATAGCTCACCTTTATTACTTTTACAATTAACTCAAGCCGGCAAACATATCCAACACATCTCTTTCCTCTTAAATTCTCTACAACAATAATTCTCTGAGGTGAACTGGGCTAAGAGAGAATGACTGCCCAAGAGCACCTAGCTGGCTTTCATAGCTAAGGCAGGATTAGAACTTGTGTTTCCCACTTTCTAGCTTCGGCCTTAACCGTGAGGTCAAACTGGCTCTAATAAATGAAATATTTATGTATAGTTTAGTGTAACACACCTTCCCATATTGATGATCACCCATTATCACTCTAGTACATTGAGAGACTAGATTGAAGAATGATATGATTTAGACATTAATTAATGCTCTGCTCTCAGATATATTTTATACAACTTAATTATTGTTCCAAGATATCTATGCTGGATCAAAGTAATAACATATTAAATGGTTATTATAAACAAAAAAGTGACCCTGTTTATTAAGTATACTGTACAAGTATACTGTACAGAAAACAGATGATCTTGCTTCAATAGAAAACAGGTTTTCTGTGCCAGCAATATTCCTATAGTTTATTATTACAAAAGCAATCAGAATAAATCTTCTTAGAATGGTTTATTTCATATATAGTGTATACTCTATAATTCTGCATTTCAGAGAAGGACACTAATTTCAATGTTCTTCTGAAATTATATTTCTAATTATTTAAGATAAAAAGTGCTCCAAACTTTTTCTTTTGAAGTTGATCTAAATTTATTAAACTTGAATCTTAAACCAGCAGATTTACCACAAAAGTTATTATAGATGAGGAGTTAAGTTTCAGCCTTTTGAAATATATGTAAACTCTATGGCCTATTTGAAAATGTTTAAATTGTATGGAAATCCAGCATAGGATGATCTTTACCGATGGATTATTCCATGCCTGTGTAGGTAATCAAGAGCCAGTGCTACTTCAGAAATATACTTTACTGCCGTTTCTTCATCAAAGTAACCACATATGTGAAGAAGAGATTTAACATCTCCGCCAATAAGATATTCCATTACCTGCCAGAAAAAAAATACCTTTGTAAAACTTGGGAGCTAATTTGTTAAGAGCAAAGATAGGCAATATAAGGCTAATGTGAACCCTCCCATTTTTTTGTATAGCCCTAGAGACCATAACAATTGTTCTGTTAAACTTCGGAGGCAATACTAAGAATAATCATGCTAGCACATGTGATCTTGGAACCACTGAACCATAGAATGTCAAAGAGCCCGGAGCACAGAGGAATTATTATAGGACTGGAAATGCTAACCCTAATTCTGGAAAAGAGCTGGAGTGATTCCCATTTCAGAAAAGGAAAAAATGGATTCATAAAACTACAGACCAATCAATCTGATATCAATACCTGGAAAGATTCTGCAAATGATAATTAAGCAACTGATATGAATCAGAACAGAGCCAGAAGGGACCTTGGTGGTTTTCTAATCTAGCCCCTGCTCAAGCAGAAATTCCTATACCATTTCAGACAGTGACTGCCCAGTCTCTTTTTAAAAACCTCCAGTGATGAAGCACTACAACTTCTGAAAGCAAGCTGTTCCAATGGTTAATAGTCCTCACTGTTAGGAAGTTCCTCCTTTATTCAGGTCACTTCTCTCCTTGATTAGTTTCCATCCATTGTTTCTTGTCCTGCCTTCTGGTGCTTTGGAAAATAAATAGAACCCCCTACTCTTTGTAGCAGCTTCTCAAATACTGGAATCACGACTCCTCAGTCCTTTTTTCCAGACTAGACAAATTCAAATTCTGCAACCGTTTTTCATGTTTTAGTCTCCAGGCCTTTAATCACCCTAGTTGTTCTTCTCTGCATTATTTTCCAAAGTCTCAACATCTTTTTCGCAATGTGGTAACCAATACTGGATGCAGTATTCCAGGTGTGCTCTTACTAAGGCTTACTAAAGTGGTACTAATACTTCATGTGATTTTGATTCTATGCCTATACCAAGGATTGTATTAGCTATTTTGGCTGCTGCCGCATACTGCTGACTCTTGTTTAAGTGATTGTTCACTATGTCTCCAAGGTCCCTTTCATAATTACTGTTTTTGAGCCATCTCCTAATATGTACTTGTAAAATCTTGCTTTCCTCCACATTAAATTTCATTTTGTTGCATAGGGCTCATTGTTCAAATATGTCAATAACTTTTTGGATTCTTAGCTTGTTTTCTGGGGTGTTGGCTATTCCAACTAACTTAGTGTCATCTGCAAATTTGATAAGTTCCTGTTGTATAACATCATCTAACATCATCATCATTTATGAAGATATTGAAGAGTATTGGGCCTATGACAGAACCTTGTGGTACCACTGTTGATAGACAAATGTGAAATAGACAACTCCTCTTTGCAGATTTCAGTTCAGTGTTCAATACCATCATTCCAGACATTTTTCTAACTAAACTAAACCAGCTATCAGAAGCTTCCTAATAGACAGGAACCAGCAGGTGAAGCTAGGCAGAATCACACCTGATACCTGTACAATTAGCACAGGGCTCCCCCAAGGCTTTCTCCACTTCTCTCTCTATACCAATGACTGCAACTCAAAGTATCAATCTGTTAAAATGCTGACGTTTGCAGATGACACAACAGTGATTGGTCTCATTCGAGACATTGATGAATCCGCATACAGACAGAGGTTGTACAACTTGCCTTGTGGTGTAACTGGAACAATCTGGAACTGAATACACTCAGTAGAGACCTTCAAATTTCTAGGTTCTACTATATCACATGACCTAAAATGGACACTTAACATCAAAAACATCATCAAAAAAGCACAACAAAGAATGTTCTTTCTGTGCCAACTCAGAAAGCTCAAACTGCCCAAGGAGCTGCTGATCCAGTTCTATAGAAGAATTACTGAGTCTGTCATCTGCACCTCTGCAACTGTCAGGTTTGTTTCTGCATCCCAACAGGACAGACACAGACTTCAGTGGATAATTAGGACTGCAGAAAAAACAATTACTACCAACCTGCTTTCAATCGAGGACCTGTATACTGCATGAGTCAAAGAGGGCTGTGAAAATATTTACAGATTCCTCACATCCCAGACATAAACTGTTTCAACTCCTACCCTCAAAACAATGCTATAGGGCATTGCACACCAGAACTACTAGATACAAGAACGGTTTTTTCCCAAACGCCACCACTTTGCTAAACAAATAATTCCCTGAACTCTGTCCAACTATTTACAAAGTCTGCACTATTACTATTAATCTTCTCATCACTCCTTATCGCCATCCCTTCCCACTTGTGACTGTATGACTGTAACTTTGTCCCTTGTATCCTTACAATTTATAGTAACTGTTTCCTAGTATGATTTGATTGCTTTTTGTACCCTATGACTATTATTAAGTGTTGTACCTTATGATTCTTGATTCATATTTTCTTTAATGTACACTGCAGCATTTGCACCAAGACAAATTCCTTGTGTGTCCAATCACACTTGGCCAATAAAGAATTCCATTCCATACCTGGTTGTGATGTTGTCTATTCCAGGGGTCGTCAACCTTTTGGACCTCAGGAACCGCCAAACTCATCATTTTAAATCTCGCGGACCACTAATATGCATTTTGACTGACAGTGGCTTCCTGACATTTTCCCAGGGTCTCTGCTGCAGAAACCCTGGGAAAATCCCCCAAAAAGTCTGTAGCAAAATTTCCCATCCCATTTTCCTACCAATCAATCATTTATTTATTTGAGATCACAGCATACCATCTCCAGCTCCATTCTCGGGGGGGGAGGGGGGACTTTTGGCTTCATGCAAGAGAAGCAGCAGAAGTCTTTCTTTCTCTTCCCCAAACTCCGCCAGAAATGAGTCTTTGTGAGACTTGTCTCTTGGAGACTTGCCTCTTGGAGCAGGATGCCTTGTGGGGTCCCAAAGACTCATTTCTGGTGGAGTTTGGGGGAGAGAAAGAAAGACTTTGGCTGTTTTCCTTGTGTGCAGCCAAAAGCAGAAGAAAAAAAAGCGGAAAGCAGCAGCCCGGTGACCAGGCCAGGTGCATGGAGCGAGTAGGGTAAGTTCCCCACTCTGACCTTCCCCCCTCCCCTCACTACCTTGTGTTGTTTGCAATGCAAGCAACACAAGCCTTGTGTTTCTGCGGGCCATGTGGACGGCATAGCCTTGTGTTCCTGCGCAGCCTGGATTAATTGCTTTGGGAGGTGCTATTTCTCTGTGGACCACCAAAATTTCCTCACAGACCACCAGTGGTCCCCAGCCCACTGGTTGGTGACCAGTGGTCTATTTCACAGTTTACTAAGAAGTAGGTTGTGTTCTACTTTGTCAAATGCCTTGTTGAAGTCTAAATATACTATGTCCACAGCATTTTGATAGTATAACAACTTTAATAACTTAGTTTAATAAATTTGTCAAAGAATGATCAGTTTTTAACAAATACATGCTGGCTACTATTTATAACTTTGTTTCCAGTTGTTCACAGATCTGTTTTTTGATTATTTTTTCCAGTATCTTCTTATGTATTGATGCTAGACTGATTGGTCTCTGATTTCCTGGGTCTGTTTTTCCCCTTTTTTTGAAGATGGGAACCACATCAGCTCTTTTTCAATCCTCTGGTAGTTCTCATGATATAATGGTTCTAAGATAACTTCTTCCAATTCCTTTAGAACTCTGGAATGTAATCCACCAGGTTCTGGTTATTTCTATTCATTTATATTCTGCAACAAGCAAGCCATTACTGGAAGTCAATATGTTTGTCAAAAACAGATCATGTCAGACAAAACTTACTGCATTCTTTGACAGTGATTGAAGTAGTGGATCAGCTAAATGTTGTGGACATAGTATACTTAAACTTCAGTAAGGCATTTGACAGAGTAGACCTCAACCAACTTATTAATAAGATAGAAAAATGTGGGATAGATAGTATCACCACCAGATGGATTCATAATTGATTATTTAACAATCAATATGTAGTTTTCAATGCAACTATATCTATCTGGAGAGATTCTGTCTTAGGTCCAGTACTCTTCAACTTCTTCATTAATTATTTGAGGGGACAGAAGAAGAATTCATTAAATTTGCAGATGACCCCAAACTGGAGGAAATAGCCAACCCTTTAAATTTTAAAGGGTTTTAAAAGGCTTTTAAAGTTTAAAAGATAGACTCAAGATACGGAAAGATCTTGACAGATTTGAACATTGGCCCTGTCCAACAAAATGCAATTCAGTGGCAAGAAAAATAAGGTTTTACATAGGCAAGAAAACTCAAATGCACAGGTATAGAATAAATAGCAAACATGGCTCAATAACAGTAGAGAGAAATGGACAATCACTTAAATATGAGCTAGTAGTGTGCTGCAGCTGCCAAAAACAGCAAATGCAGTCCTAGGTTGCATCAACAGAGAGACAGAATTAAGGCCAGTGAAGTATTAGTACTGCTTTATACTGCTTTGGTAAGACCACATCTAGAATACTGCGTCCAGAAAGAATGCAGAGAAGAGCAACTAAGATCATTAAGGAGCTGGATGCTAAAATATACAATGAAGGATTGCAGGAACTAAGTATTTCTTGTCTAACAAAGGAAAGGACATGGGATTATATGATTAGCAATCTTCCAATAATTAGGGCTGTGTTATTCTCCAAAGTACCTGAGGACAGGACAAAAAGTAATGGATCTCCCATAAATGAGAGATCCAGTTAGAACTAAGGAGAAATTTTCTGACAGTGAGAACAATTTATCAGTGGAACAGCTTGCTTCCAGAAGCTGTGGGTGTTTAAGGAGAGATTGGACACCATTTGTCTAACTCTAGAATGCATAGGGTCTCTGCTTGAGCAGATAATTGGACTGGAAAGCCAATTCAAGGTCATTCCGAATTCTGTTATTTTGTTCATAATGCTTTTTCTGTCACACTGAGGGTTATTGACATTCCTAGGCTTAAACAATTAAATAATCTTTATAACTCAAAAGCTGGGCAAAATCAGAAAAATCATAGTTCTGTTTATGTCTGAGATGGTCCTGTCTGCTTTCTCCCCACCCACCCAGAAGCATCAAAATGATCTGGTGTATTTACTATAGATTATTGCTCACTATGGCTTTAGAATACAATTTCAGATTATCCTATTCAGTTCCTATCCCTATGTATTGTGGTTTCAACTCATGTGATTTAGAATTATATGAATTCAGACTCAAGACTTTGAAAGGGCACAAACTGAGGAAAGAAAAATAATGAGTTCATAAGACAATACAGAAAAGTTCATTTGTTTTCAGGAATGATCTGGAAATAGGAAATGGCTATAAAAGGCTAAGGTAGAATGTTATATGGGCCAAAATTGATATTCAGTAAAATTACAGGTTTATAGTATTGATTTAAGATTGGTAATTGAAGTTGATATTCATACAGGAGGTGATATGGACACTGAACAGTACTATAAACAATGGATTGAGACAACAGCAAAACTACACTTAAAAAGAAACAGGTTTCAAAGATGCTAGATTACTCACCAAGTAGACATTGTTGGCAGATTGAAGCGAATAGAATAAGTGTACTATGAAAGGACTTTTACTGAGAGCCAAGGCATCTCTTTCTGCCTGTACCTGGTGAGCCATATTTTTATTGATCAGATCAGCCTTTTTTACCACCTGTAAAAACAATTGTGCCTATAGTGCATTATACTTCTCCACTGCAGAAAAATACATTATAAAGTTATTTTTCCTTATGCCTATAATTCATAAATCCTCCATACTAAGGATTTTTGCTGAATGCTCCATGCAACTAATGCCAAACAAACTCTCATACCTGATATAGTTATTAATTATACTATAAATCATTCATGCTGAATATCTTAAGTCTTTTTGTATACTTTCAATCAAAATCTGTGAAACCTCACTCAGGCCCTTAAAAAATTAGGAATTAAACTTTATAAAGTTGATTGTACTCCATTACATGGAAAGATTAGGCAATTATATCATGGTTCATTTACCTTTCTAATAATGAAGTTTGTTAACTTGGTCTACTCTAGCCCATCTAAATGTTTAAGGAACTCGATTTTTTAGAAAGCAAATTGGAAGTATTAATCATCTACAAAGGGGCATGAGATAAAATTTTTTTTCAAAACCGAAGCTACATAGGGAAAAGACACCTAACTTTTTATCCATTGCCACTTATCGCACATAACTAATTTCTTTAAAATTCTCAATACTCCACAATAAAGTCGACATGGGCAGCAGCTGGGGTGGGGGTGGGGTGGAGGAAGCAATGCCAGAAAAACGGGGGATCCATATTCCTGGCGCACATTTTTCTAACTGTAAATCGTCCCCAGATGCTTTGCAACTTTTAATTCGGCTCCATTGCCATTTGCCTACTTTGCCACTGAAGCCTGTGACCAATCAAAATTAAAGCGAACTTTCGGGCTAACCATTTTTAACTGCATTCCGCGACAATTGCCGAGAAGAGGGGAGCCTCACCTTAACCGCGTAGAGTTTTCCTCCTTTGCGACCCAGATAAACTTTCCCGAAAGCACCTCGGCTGATCGGTTTAACGATGGTAAAGTCCTCGATGGAGGGCGGCTGGGGTACGGTGATGCGCTTCCCACACGAGGCGCCCTTCTCTTCCTCCCTTCTCACATTATCTTGGGGTGCAGAAGTTTCCGCCATCACGATCGCTAACGCCACAGTCCTGCTCTCCTCCAAGCCTCCCTGCGCCCAGCCCGAACAGCCGCTTCGATCCGCCACAATTCAAAACTAAGTTCCACCCCCCTGCTTCCGCCACTTGCACGTCAACCGAAACGACGCAAAACATATTAGCCACCAAGGCAACGCAACGCAACGCAAGGCGGGGTAGGGGCGGACTCACCACCCACACTTCCGGTTTAGTCGCGCCTGCTCGGTTGTCGCTCTCGGCGACGCTTCTCTATCGTCCGGAAAGCACTAACGCAATTGTGCGTTTGTTTTGGGTGTCATTTTATCTTTGCCCCCCCCCCCCCCCCGCCAAAGTATATTTAAAAACAAGCGCGATCTGTCAAACTGTATTACTCCTGAAATTACGTATTGTTCCCCAAATTTATTTCCAGCTTTCGTCTTTATCAGTGTGCAAGAATTTAATCCAGGAATTTAAGACTTTCATATACCAGAGAATCTTGTGAGGGTAGGAGATTGCGGCAGCACAAAGCCCGCTAGTGAGGTTTAAGAATGGATCTGAAAATCACCAGAGCCAGTCCAGTACTCTCGCCCTCTCTCGAAGGCGGCTTTGATCAAAATAAAACTGCCTTTATTACACACGGGTGGAGAGGGAACAAAATGCCCCCAGATATTTTTAATCAGCACTAACAATGCCGACGGCGAAGAGGAACTAACAGGCGCACAGGGAAAGGATATGGGGAAGCCAGAAGAGAAGAGAAGAAGCGGTCTAATCGCTTTCCGCCCTGGTTCAAACAATAGCTCGCTTCAGTCTCGTTGGCCTCCGCCACAGAGAGCGCCTCCATTTCACTAACACTTCCTTCTAATTCACCGCATCGCGCGGACGCGAGCTCAATGTCAGCCCAAATTACTTTTTCCTCCGCCGCGACCATTTTACAAAAGGCGGCGAGACAAGCTCAGAGACTCCCCGCTCAACCGTCTACAATTTACAAATCTGAGCGCAGGCACAGCCGGTTGCTAGGGAGGGGTGATGAGGTCACCCGGAAGTACTCCTCTATAACCGTCAGCTGCCGGGCGGGGTTCAGCCGGGCCAGTTCCAAGTGTGAGAGGCGGCCATTTTCGGGAAGAGTTAGTAAACCACCGAATCCTCTTCTCCCGGGGAAAAACGAGGCCGGAGGAACCGCAGAGGAAGAGGCGTCCTCGGTCTCAACCTGTCTGGCCGCTTGAGTGGCGAGAAGGATGCTTTCTTTTTCTACCACGGTGCAGCCCCAGGTGAAGGCCTCCCTAAGAGCAGCTGTGGAAGCCGCTATTGTTCTGCGTAGTTAGGGAGAACGGGGGCGGGAAGGGAAACGGGACCCCGAAGGAATGGTGTGAGCAGGGAGGTTCCGCAAGGGGGAGGACGGGAAGGCGAGGCTTCCTTGGCCCAATAAGTTTATTAGACAATCTGCGGGAGAGGAAGGAAAAAGCCTTTGAAAATGTGCTGGATTTTACCTTCATGGAAGTTAGTCGAAGCCAAACATGCAAGACTGTAGCCCCTTTCCTGAAATGTAAAGGGATACCGCTCTTGAAAGGCGATGTCTTCTCTAATTATCCTTTATTTCGTTAAATATTTTTTAAAAAAGATTTTACTTGCCTGCCTATCGCTTTGTGGAGATAACTTCCGTTCGTTAACTATGACATACTTTTGTTCTGAGCCTCCTGATTTCCAAATTTATTGGGGTGACTATGAACTGAAGAACGCATAGATGTTCCGTTTCTTAATGTTACAGGCTCTCGCTTAACATTTTCGCCAAAATCTCAAGTGTCCAAAGCAAATACTTGAGTTTTTGAGCACATCATTTAAATGTTAAAAGTACCTTGTTAAGCTGCCTTTTACTGGAATCAAGTTCTTATTTTAGGTTCAAATGAGATCTGAGGAAAATTTTTTGGTAAATTCCAGGATTATGCATAATTCAATAGAGGATCTGTAAAATAATATGGTAAATAACCACTTTAATTCTTTTCTGATCTTGTATCCTGTTGAGTTCGGTCACCGCTCATAATTCCTGCTCATAATGGCTATCTAATTGGAGAAGTTTCCCTTGATATAGAACCAAAGCATTCTGAGGTCAGAAGGATACAAACTAAGATAATCAGAATCAATTATCAAAGATCCAGGTCTTGTATTACAGTAAAAGATTGATCTTTCAGTCTTTAAAAAGCATATTTTTTTATTTTGGCCAGTTGGCCAGAGCCAGTTTGGTTTGGTGCGTAAGATCACTCTCAGACTAACCCATCTCACAGGGTTGTGGGTAGGGACAATAGGAGGAAGTTGTGTTGGATAAATTTTCCACCTTTAATTACTTTGTAAAAGTAATAAAGGTGGGATACAAATAAATAAAAATATACTGCCAAAAGCTGTGACAAGTTGCATGTTATCTTTAATCTCAATTGATGAGAAAATGAGATGATTTTTAATGGAAATTACAAAAAAGTACAGTCCTTTTACCTCTTATTTATTTATTTAGTAAACTTATATGCCACCCATGTAATTTTAGAATTAAAAACAAAACCTTAAAACAAGCAATAACACTTAATTTGATCTATTATTGACAAGATGAGAAGGAAGACGGCAAAATGTACACAGGGAGGAGATGGCATTTTATCTATTTATTTTAACCACCTGGCAGAGCAGGTCTTAAGGTTCTTTCAGAAGGCCAAAGAATTGGATGCAAATCTCATTTTGGGGGTGGGGCGCAATGTTCATAAGGACAAGGCAAGCCACAGCAGAAAAGGCTCTTTTCCTGGAACTGCCAGCTGGAATTCCTTGACCAACGGGGTCCATAGCACACCTCTTCTGTCAGCATGGGTGAAATTGGCAATCCCGTTAGGATGAGATGGTTCTTCAGATAGCTTGATCCTGTGCAATAGTGGTGTTTAAAGGTGCTAATCAATACCTTGAATTGGATCCAGAAGCAAATTGGCAACCAGTGCAGCTTGGATAAAATCAGTATAACATGGGTGCCATAGAGCCCCACAAAAACGTTCACATAACTTATTTCTGCACCAGCTGTAGCTGCCAAATATTCTTCAAGAGTGTAGCCATGTACAGGATGTTGAAATAGTCCAACATGACATGACCAGGGCTTAAGTGACCGAGTGCAGGGATTTCTGATCTAGGAAAGGGCACAATTGGTGCACAGTACATAGTTGGATAAGCTATCTTGGCCACAGCTTCCATCTGCTCTTTGAGAAGTTGCAATTCCAAGAGAACTCCCAAATTGCACATTGGATCTGTTTGGAGCAGTGCCATTCCATCCCCAAGTAAAGTTGTTACAGTCTTGTTGCTGAAACTCCACACTCCAAAAGCCCCTCCCATCTTACCACGGTTCAGTCAAAGTCTGTTGTTCTCCCACCCAAGCCTCATAACCTCAGCAAGAGAGCAATGACAGCAACACTTAGGCCACTAGAGATGGAGAGGTAAAGTTGAATATCATCAGCATACTGGTGGTACTCCATGAGGGCAGATTATCTCAGTGACTTCATGTAGATATTAAAAAGGAGTGGAGAAAGTACTGCATCCTGCAGCACACCACAAAGGAACAGTTGTGGACTTGACTTCTCATTCCCTGTCAACACAAATAGAGCCTTGGAGAAAGGAGTCAAATCAGCTCAAGACTGTCAGTTTCAAATCTCATAGCTGGCCCAAAAAGGGTATCCTTTTTGGGCCAGCTATGAGATTTGAAACTGACAGTCAGTGGTATTGAAGGCCATTGAGAGGTCAAGGATGGATGCATATGCCCCATCCCAATCTTGCCAGAGATCATCAAGTGCAATTAATCTGTTTCCATTCCATTAACTGGGTCTGAACCCTGACTGGACATTGTGTATTAAATGGAATCAATGTTCTTCATTTGTATTTACACTATTCAACTAATTGTCTTCTAAGAGTAACATAGTGCATTAATAGGGTCAAGGCTGTCAAACTCCCAGCCTGTGGATTGAATGCATCATGTGCTGGTCACGCCCACACCCAGTTTAACAAAGGGGGAAAGACCTGATATGAGTTTGACACCTCTGCTGTAGATGAAATACAAACTATGGACAACACATATTCTGCACAATTTATCATTCTGGTCTAAATATCAGTTTCAAGGCTCACACATAGATTGTAAATATTTTCAGTAAAATTATTGTTAATGTAACAAACTGTTTCAAAAATCTTTTATAATATTTTTTCACAATTGGGAGAGGTGTTCTCTATTTCATATTAGATAAGATACCGGCAATACATGCTTTGCTTGTTTTCAGATAGTTTTGCAAACATGATAAGTAAGTACATCATTATTTTCTATAATGCTATGCATATTCCCGGTTTCAGTTTTCTAATTTAATTAGGAGAAGTTACAAGAATAATTTATTTCACAAAATCAAATATTAAAGTTAGTTTTGCGAAGTAAGAGGAATTTTTATACAATGTATTCTGCAGTAATGAATTGATTGCTTCTGAAAAGTTTGTAAATATTTGCAAAATTAAACTAGTTTTTTATGGTTTCAGTGTTTCTGTTAGTAAAATTTCTGTGATATTGATTCAGTATTTAAACTGTATTTTGAAATGTGCAGCAACAGCTGTTTACCTTGTTAAAGCAAACATAGACTTCTACATTATTCCTGGAAGCTTAGGGATTTTACAGTTATTTAAGAACAACCAAATTATATAATATCACATTGCAGCACTGGTCAAAAGGGCCCAGCTGAGATTATACTACCTGAGACTTCTCAGGAAACAACAACTGAATGAAAAACTGCTGGTGACTTTCTACCACTGCACCATAGAGAATATTTTAACTTACTGTACATGTGTATGATTTTTCAATTGAACAGTGACAGATAGGAAAGCACTCCAGAGGGTTAATGTCATTGCCCGGAGGATCATTGGTTGCCCTCTCCCCTCTTTGGAAGAGCTTTATAGCTCCCGCAGCCTTAAGAAAGTTCAAAACATTCTCAAAGATCCATCTCATCCTGGGCCCCCTTTTTTTGAACTATTATTATCTGGCAGACGGTAA